GGGTTTTATTTATAATTGTTGTATAAATACAAAACTATTATATTTGAATTTTATAGGTTCTGACTCATTGTGTAGAAACGACATTTTTATGTGTTGTCCCTGTTTAACTGATTTCTAAGAAGGAAGTTATATTTTAGAAACATTTATGATCATTGACTAGGACAAGAAAAAGTAGCACAAGAGATGTAAATCTTATCCACTTATTTATGTGTGTTGTATGTTTAATACATATCATGGATTTAAGACACGAAATCTGTGTTCTAGATTATTATTTCAGACAAAGAACCACACTGCAGTATTTCAGATGGGGTCTTGTTAGCTAGGTTTCTCTGACCTTATTATCTGTCTCCTGTTGCTGGGCAGAAATCAGAATGCTGGCTGCTGATTGGGTGAATTTGTGTGTGGCTCTGGAACAGCCATTTACATTCTTGAGTTTTTGAGCAGGAAGATTATAAGATAAAACAGCTTCCCTTTGTTTCATGGCTGTGATCTCTTGTTAGAAAGGAAGTGAAAGAGTGGGTGGAGGGGAGAAAAAATGTTCTCACTTAAAGAAGAGGCTCATTGGTCTCTCACTGAAAAGAATTTATCAAAAATTGAGAAGAAATTGCAAGCCATAGAGACATATTTCTCTGGCTGTTCACATACGGATTTCTATAGAAAAAAAATGTTGATAACATTTCTCCAGCGATCTTGGATCTGAATAAGCAAGGGCTTAACGTATCCTATTTTTAAACTCTTCTTTTTCATTAAAGAAACTATCCATCACAACATGCAGTTGTTTGTAGATATGGCAGACACGTTTTTCCTGTAAATGAGTTACAGTGTGGATGTTCTGAGGCTAGTGTGGCTGCCTTGAAGAGGAGTGTTCATTTTAGACTGGCCAGATGCCGGTGCTCACTGTGGGCTTCACAAAGGCCCTCTCCTCATGCTGCATGGAGCCTTATTTGCACTGAACACCCCTTCTCTCATGTATTCTATTGTTCCTACTGAGCTTTGCTTATGCAAAATAGATTTCTCAAGGCAGATTGTTGATTGGCTTGCACGGATATAGCTGGACTGGTTTGAACTGGTTGTTCATGCTACTTACTGCTTTGCTTGTCTTTTGTTATACTATGAAAGTTCTGTAAATAGCTGTAGTCTGCTCCCTTGTGGGTAAGGAAGGTAGTTACCTATTGTCTTCTGGCAACACTGTTGGTTAGTATTATTGAAGTTAGTGGCTTTTTTGGTGGAGATGGTTTAACATTAATTGTTATTTAAACTGGATTTTTCTAGTCCCTCCTCCCCCCACCTTACTGCTATTTAATTTGTTTCAGACTCTGAAAGTTATGCCTCAAAATACCCAGAATAAATAGGCAAGCAAGGATAATGATGTTGAGCACTTGGGACATTCTAAGTGCCTTTAGTTTTGTATGGGTGGAGCTGACTGTGTAACTCATGATGGCCTCAGACTTGTGGTGATCCTCCTGCCTCGGCCTCCCATGTGCTAGGCTTACCAATGTACTCCACTTTGCCTGGCTTAATTAATTAACTAATTAACCAGATCGTTTAATTCTCAGCAAAGCCTGAATGGTAGATGCACTTCCTTTAAGATACTTTAAACAGAGACTGGAGTGTTGGGCCACCTCCCTCACATTCGGTTTCCTACCTGGGAGAAGTGAGCCTCACACTCAAAGCTCTCAGCAGTGTTTGGTTCTTACTGGCATTATGAAAAGCTATGACATCTTTTGCAAGATGTTTAATTTTAATGTTAGTAATGACAACTTAGTTATGCATAGAGTATCTGAAAATGGATATTTCAAAGTCTAAAAGGAATGGGGCTTCAGTATTTGAACATATGTAAGGGGTATCCAAACTCTATTTAATATGTTTATGGTCAGCAAGGTGAGTACCAAGCTTGTCTTGTCTGAGATAGAGTTCATCAATGCACAGCAATGATTAGCATGCACAAGAAAGCCTTGGGCTCTAACTCCCGCACCAAAAAGTAGGCCAAACTTTTATATGTTCTATACAATAAAATGTATATGTAACATGACTTTGAAGTGGATGAGGAAGAAGAAACTTTATCCTTAAAATAGCGCCAGTGGTGATTTTGTTTGAAAGATTTCTATATAGTTGAAAGATAACTTTTCTAAGGAGTTCTTTAAATAAAACTAAGAAATGTTTAAATTATTAAATTCAGAAAATGAATGTAGAGTGTAACACAATCTAGACATTCTTTAACAAAAGGCTATATCCTTGAGAGCCACATTGGTCTCTGACAAATAGGTCAGACTTATTATTGAAAGACATTTGTTACTCACAGCTTCGGTTGACTTATTCTTGTAGACAAGTTATATTAGTGACGGTGTTAGAATGTGGTTCGATGTAGTGTAATTTAACTGTTTTGTGGGGTTTAAAGAAGTAGCCACACTCTTGATTGGGTGACAGATATCTCATGTGCATGTGTGTGCATGCATGTGCATGTGTGTGCCCTGTGCATGCATGCATGTCCGACATGTCTGTGCATCTTATTCCACTGTGCTTGATGTCGCTTTTCTCCTCCCCTCCCCCTCCCTCTCTCATCTGTCTTTGCTGCTGCTGGCAATGCTCTACTCCCCTTTTGATGGTGCTGAGGCCCGTATCCGGGGCCTCACGTGCCAAGCAGAGATGTTTGTGTTTACATAGAAGTGCTGGTGCGGAATTCCTGCCCCCCCTTACTGTTTAAATCTTATTTCACCATTAAATGTAGCATCTACACCTTGAAAACCTTTATATAAGCAAATTCCCCTTTTAAAAATGTCTTATTTTTAATTATAAGCTAATATTGAATATTGTCTAATGATATTCTATGTCTGCTGAGGTGATTCCTCATTTACTCTCACCATTGTGTGGTAAATCACACTCTTTCTCTCTCTCTCTCTCTCTCTCTCTCACACACACACACACACACACACACACACACACACACACACAGATATATTATCTTAGTTTTACAGGCTAGAAGCTGTTAAGGCATATCTCGTGAAGGCCCTGAGGAAGCATTTGTCCAGGCATGTCTGCTAGCTTCTAATTTTTTGGCTTGTGATAGCATAGCTCTTGTCATAAGGTGGTTTTGTGCTGTGCCTGCTGTTGTCTGAAGGCATTGATTGCTTTGCAGTGGAGCCCATCCTGATAACTGTATACTCATCTACAATTAAGCAGTCACAATCTGGTACCACAGTCTCACTCATTTTAAGGAAAAATCACTAGGTACTTTTGTGGCCTTGAGTACACAAGGGTGATTCCTGACTTGCCCATGGCTTTTGAGTGTGGATTTTATAATGGTCTTTTCCTGGTAATTAGTGTTGCCTGTTAAATATACTGCTCAGTCATTTGTAGAGAAAAGAAGAATGAATTATGGAAATTAGAAAACATTTTAGCAGAAAAAAAAATGATAATATGATATCAAAATGTGAGAGTCGGGCTGGAATGGTAGCTTAGTAGTTAAGAGTAGTTGCTCTTGCAGAAGACCCCGGTTTGGTTCCCAGTGTTCTCATGGTGGCTCACAGTTGTCTGTAACCTCAGTTCTGGGGATCCTGCTACTTCTGGATGCTTTGAATGCATGGGATGCACATAGATAGGTTGTACATTCACATAAAAATAAATCTTTAAAAAAACATGAGATTCGGTTAAAGATACTTAGTAATTAATGGCTTTCTGTGCATACATTATGAAAGATGAACTTTAATTGAAGATTTGTGGTTAAACTTGAACCATAAAGAAAAAGATGGTACAGTGGTTAGTCTCCATTGTCACTTGTGATCTAGATTCACCTGAGATATGGTGTCTTGGGTGGGTTATAGTGATTAGGTTAATGAGGTAGAAAGACCCACTCACTGTGAGTCTATGCCTTCCCTGGGCTGAGTCTTGGCCCCATAGAGGAAAAAGTGGGGAGTATACCAGAATTAATCCTTTTCTGACTAAGGATGCCAAGTGGCCAACCACATCCACCTCCTGCTGCCTTGATCTGCATGATGGGCTGTACTGCTGAGCTGTTTCAAAACAAACCCTGTCTTCCCAAGTGCATTGTGTCAAAGACTATTTTATCATAGCTACTGAAACAATAGATCATCAGATTCAAATTAAACCCACCCAAAAAGTCAAATAGATGATATTAGAGAAGAAACCAGCAAAACTACAAAGTAGATGCAAAACAGGAGCAATTAACAAGGACAAAAGTTCATTCTTTGGTAAACAGATTTGTTAGGATTCTAACACAATTGACCAAAAAAGAGGGCACACTACAATATATGTACTTTTTACTCTTTTATATTTATATTTATTGAGATCTAACATATATAATTCATCTACAAAAATGTACAATTAGTGGGTTTTCAGTAGATTCAGAGCTATCACCACAATGAATGTTAGAGCATTTCTATTACTCTTTAGTTCTTTCCCATTTTCTCCAAACCTCCAAATCAAGCTGGAGAAATGGCCTAGCAGCCCAGCACCTGCCCTTGCCGTTTTGGAAGATGACTCAGGTTTGGTTCCCAGCACCCATTTTCTTCACATGCTTTTTCATGCTCCTGAAGCATGTCTGGATTCCCCCCCCCCCCCCAACACACATACACACAGGGTTTCTCTTTATAGTCCTGACTGCCTGGGAACTCCCTGTGTAGACCAGGCTGGCCTTAAACTCACAGAGATCTGCCTGCCTCTGCCTTTGGAGTGGAGTGCTGGGATTAAAGGTGTGCGCCACTACCATCTGGCTGCTCCTCTGAAATTTTAACTCCTGTTTGGAAAAAACTAGCTCCTTTTCCTCTTCATTTTCCTAGCAACTGATGTTCTGATGTACACCATGTTATCTCTCAATTTTCTGCTATGTAAATCTGGTAACTATGAAAACTAAGTCATAGCAAGGATTGAGATTTATCATTGTTTCAAATTACATGATCTAAACTGTTACTGTAATTTTCAGTTAACTTGTAATTAAATGACTTTTGTCTCAATTATTAAAATCCTTTTTCTTGTGTTTAAAGATTCAAAATGGATAGTATAGAAGAACCTCAGAAAAAAGTCTTCAAGGCTCGGAAGACAATGAGAGTGAGTGACCGGCAGCAGCTCGAAGCCGTGTACAAAGTGAAGGAGGAGCTGCTAAAAACAGACGTGAAGCTCCTGAATGGGAACCATGGGAACGGAGATTTGGAGCCCACGTCACCTTTGGAAAATAGAGATTGTCTTCAAGAGACAGAAGTGAATGGCATTGAGGGGATTTGTTTTGAGTCTGAAGAAAGTAAAACAGAGTTGAAAGAGACACCTTGTGTCCCCAGTGCTAGTGTAAAAAATAAGCAAGAAGAGGATTCAAACAGTGGCTCTTTGTCTCCTAGTGTAACTTCTGAGCTTGTGTCTAAACCAGCCACTGAGCCAGCCTCTGGCACCCCAGCCTCTAGTACCCCAGCCTCCGGCACCCCAACTTCTGGCACCCCAGCCTCTGGTACCCCAGCTTCTGGCACCCCAGCCTCTGGTGATCTGACCACAGGAGAGCTGGCTGTTGAAGTACCAGCCACTGGTGACTCTCCCTGTGAGGAGTCCCCCTCTAGTGATCCCTCCTCCCATGATCCCACCCATAGTGATCCCACCTCTGCAGATACTGCTTCTGAAGAACCTGCCTCTGGTGACCTTGCCTCTGAACCACTGTCTGGTGAACCAATGTCTGATGAAGCAGTTTCAAGTGAACCACTGTCCGAAGAACTTTTGTCTGGTGAAGCAGTTTCAGGTGAAATGGTTTCAGATGAACCAGGTGTTGGTGCAGTGGCATCTTCTGAACTGGCCTCTGGGGAACCCTCTTCTGATGATTGTGGCCCCTCTGGGGATTTGCCTTCTGATGCCCTGCCTTCTAGTGATGAGTCCTCTGGTGGTCCTGCCTGTAGCAGACTGGCTTGTGGTGAGCTGGCTCCTGGTGAGCTGACTGTGGAATCAGCCACTGATACTTTTAAACCAAGTTCAGTGCCAGTTTGTGAACCAAGTCCTGAAACTGACAAGTCAGAGCAGAGTAGCAATAACAATGATGACTGTTCGGAAAAAAATGCAGATGATGAAAACTTAGACCAAATTCAAAGTAAAGACTCATGTGATGAGGGAGAGAAAGTGAACAGTAATGTTGGTGAGAAGGAAGAAAGTCCAGACACACACAGTGCAATTATTTGTTCTGACCTACCTCCAGAAAATAGGAAGAAGGCAGAGGAAGAGCCCGTTGCTGAGCTTGCTCTTAGAGAAGAGGCCATCTCCAGCAGTATGGAAGTTGACCAAAGTGAAAAGGATGGGCATCAGAGTCCTACAGAACTTGTAGAAGCTGTCATTGACAAAGCCACAGAAGATAAGGAGACTGTCTTAGACAACACAGACTCCATGGAAACAGATGAGATCATTCCTATTCTGGAAAAACTTGCACCCGCAGAAGAGGAGGAACTCACGTGCTTTTCAAAGACTTCCCTCCTTCCGGTTGAGACAAGTCAAGATTTGGAAGAGAAAATGGAGGGTTCTTTTGGCTCTCCATCAAAACAAGAAAGTAGTGAGAATTTGCCAAAAGAAGCCTTTTTGGTCCTCTCTGATGAAGAGGATATTTCATGTGGAAAAGATGAGTCTGAAGTTATATCACAAGAGAAGACACGTTCTCCAGGTTAGCTGATTAAGTATTTTTTTGCTTTAATGATCTGTTTATTTAATGATGTTAGTAATCCTGGAGTGACATAGAAAGCAGCTAGGTGTGATGTCACAAGGGGAGAAAAGGGAGGGCCAAGGAGTTTAAGGTGTGTGTGTGTGTGTGTGTGTGTGTAAGTGAACATGCATGTAGGCAGCTACAGAGCCAGAAACAAGTGCTGAATTTCCAGAGCTGGTAGTTGTGAACTACCATGTGGGTGCTGGTAACCCAGCTTTGATCCTCTGCAAGAGCAGCAAATGAATTTTCAGCATTAAGCCATCCATCATCTCTCTAGCCCCAAGGAAGCCTCTTCCAACACAAAATAGTCATCGAAGGCCATTGTACAGAAACAACTTATATAAACTATCATTTCAGGCAGTGTCAGGGATTTCTAAGCCCACCATCCAAACACAAAGCTTCGTAGCTCTGCTGTACTTGCAGAACCTAGCCTTATGCATGGCGAGCCTGGTCTGATGCCTCTGGGCTTCTCAAGTACCGCCTTCTCGTCAAGTTTTCACAGTTATATCTTCCATGAACTTAGCTCTAGTCTGTCAACACAGACAGTAGTAGTAAGATCACTAGAGATAGGTAACAAGTTCTGCTAACCCCAAAACCTTTGAGAAAAAGCTCAAATAAAGCATTTACTGTCTTCCTGACAAGTAATACCTTTAATGACCAAAGAGTATGCAGTATCATACAAACACTTATTGCTGCCCAATGCAGAAAGAACAATATTGTATGCAACATGTAAACAAACAGGCTTGCCTCTGTCCCAGCTAAATGGTACAAAGCTCAGATGGGTCATAGGTCATAGTTTGCCAAGCAGTCTTGCTTTGGATTGAATCCATAAGGGTATTTAAAGCAAAACAAAGTCTTACAGGCTACCTCAAACAATATACCCATTAGAAAAAAAAAGAAAAAAATAATCAACCACAACAAAACCCAGAGGAAGTAACAGGTAATTTCATATGTAAGCAATACAGAAGGTCAGTAAATAGAGATTTTTTTTTCAATCTTATAAAAATACACCAGGATAATGTAGCCTGCAGAAAAATCTAACTTCTCCAGACATTTTCAAAGCTTGACCTTAATACAAAGGTACAAATAACTATCTTCTGCATCATTGGTTCTCAACTTCTGGATTTCAACTCCTTTGGGAGTTAATGATCCTTTCACAGGGTTTGCCTAAGATCATAAGAAAACACAGATATTTACATTATGATTCATAACAGTAGCAAAATTACAGTTACAAAGTAACGATGAAAATAATTTCATGGTTGGGGTCAGCACAGCATGAGGATCTGTGAAGGTTAAGAGCCACTGTCCACATGATGTTTGAGAATAGCCAGGATGGAGTCTAGCAAGGTGGAAATCCAAATTCAAGTAAGCTGAAGACTTAGGAGAAGAAACAAAGTGCTAGCTTTGGAAATGTAGTTCTGAAAGTGAGGAAGGATGGAACAGCAGCTAAAAATGTGTCTGTGATGAGATGCATACTGAAGCAAGACAGTAAGGAGATAGGGTAAGACAGTAAGATGTGCCTCAACTTTCCCAGAAAAAGAAAGTATGACTTTAATCATCGAGAAAGTGTCATTTGTTATTTAACAATAGGCAACACCTTGTCTCCAGATGTATTAGGACACATTAGTTCTTCAATTTTTAATGACAGTCGTATTTTTTTCTACTTGTTTTGTTAATAGTTTGAGATAGGTCTCTTGTAGCCTAGGCTAACTTCAAATTACTTATGTAGCAAAGGACACATAAATCTCTCTAAATCTTCCCAAAGGGCAGTTTGTTCGGTCTCTAGAATGTTTGAACAAAACGTTCTACCTCCTAGAAAGAATCTGTTGACATTTTTTTCTTAACAGCATTCTTTCTGTGACACAATGGCATACACTCCAATCCTTGTGATCTATACTAAAACTCGGTGCATGTCTTAAGTGCCACGTGTCTAGTAGGCGGATCTGAAAAGTGGTTATTCAGCATAGGAAATAGTTGTGTTGTGTAGAATTTACAAGTACATTAAGTATGTCATTATTTAATAGTCTTAACGATTGCACTAGTCATTACATTTATTTATCTATTGTAAGGTGGTGGGTGAGCCTTGTAGGTCAGAGAGTAACTTGGGAGTCAGTTCTCTCCTTCAGCCTTGGAAGTCCTGGGAGTTGGTTGTCAGGCTCCCTGGCATGTGCTTTTACCCTCTTGAGTTACCCTGCCGCCTCTGGTTTAGTTTTAATAATTGAAAGTAGTCTGAATTCTTTATAATAATTGTTACTGGTGATGGAAAATTAAGTAAAATTGTTGGCTTTAAGTGCTACATATTATTTTTCATGTTGAGCTTATTAGGGATAAACACAATTTGAATGTGAACTTGGTTTTTAACTTCTCAGTTTGTGCTCTCATATTCTTTATTTTGAAAAATGTTTGGTAGCTGAATAGTGACCAAAAAAGTGTGAATAATGAGCTGTTACTAATTCTACAGAAATGACTGTTCCTCCTCTGCATTTGTCCTCACAGAAGTAGGAAGGACTGAAAAGGACGGCAGAGCTGAGGAGGAGGAGGAAGAGGAGCGAGAGACAGGCGAGGGGCAGCCACCTGTGAGAAGTACGCACGTCCCTGCACCTGCCCTGTAGCCTGGCCTTAGCCGGCCATGGCGGGCTGCCATTTCTGCTCCAGAGATGGCCACACCTTTTTTAACTTAAACACAATTCACTGATCTGGTTGATGACCAGTTCAAGGACCTTTGGATGTATTATTTCATGTATTTCAAAGTGTTTATGGTAATGGTTCCATGGGGAGGATTAGACTTACACTTGAAGGCACCAAGTAAGTGTCTGAACTTGTTTTTAAGTTTGGGGCAGAAGGATTTATCTTGCAGTTGTGAGAGGTGACAGCCTCACAGTGAAGTGTGCTGGACCTGGTGTTGTAGACTCGGGCAAGGGTTAGTCAGCCAGGGCTTTATTTTCATTTACTGTGCCTATTAAAATGTTGTAAAATAGACCTCCACTAAATAAACTCATAGATAGATGTGGATATATTTCTTTCTCCACTATTGTGATAAAACTGAACAAATAGCTTTTGAGCACTACTTCTCTACCCCTCATCTTGAACATTATGTTACAGACCAAAGACAATAGGTTTCATTTATGGAGTAGCACTGGTATAGCCATAAAGGCGTGGGGTATTAGTGTTTTAACTTTTTTGTATTTATTTTTCGAGGCAGGGTTTCACTGTTAGCCTTGGCTGTCCTAGAACTCACTGACCTGGAACACACATAGGTCTGCTTGCCTCTGCCTCCTGAGTGCTGGGAATAAATGTGTGTGCCACCACAACCTGGCAGTGTTTTAATTTTTGAAATGCTGAAAACCAGTTAAATTTTTCTCAATGATTTCATAATGTTAATGTTTGAAATAATTTTTTAAGTGAAATGTTTGAATGTCTATTCTGTGCCAATTATACTTTTGTGATATTCATTTTATTATCTGTGTGTATCTGAGCTCTTAGGACATGCTTAGAGTATCTGGTCACTGCTCAGGACTAGATGACTAGGGAATGGCTTAGTCGATGTGATTGCCATGCACCCATTTTCACAGAGAAAGAAGAATTAAATAATTCAGAATATACAAAGATAATAGAAGTCTGTGGCATAGAATGGCCAATATATGTTGTTAAAGCATTCATATGTGCTATGACATTGAACAGAGGGAAGAATATGGTAGAATTCTGTTGTTTGTGAACCTTCTCTATCTGAATGTGAGCATTTCATGGAAAGAGTGCTCCATGTTTTCAGTGTGCATTGCTAAGCAGTCAGGAAAGTTCTCCTGGCATACTGAACATGATCTCAGCTTTAAAGCTGGGCATCCTGTGCCTACTGGGACCTTCCGTCCTAAGCCTAAGAACAGTCATGCAGCGGCTGGCTGGCCGAGAGCTGCATGTGCTCACACTGTGCTGCTGAGTACTGTAGCTAAGACAGCAGACTGACTGATCAATGCGGGGCGTTTTTGTTGTTCTCAGATGAATTTTCCAGACGGAAACGCTCTAAATCAGAAGACATGGACAATGTGCAGTCCAAACGTCGGCGCTATGTAGAGGAGGAGTACGAGGCAGAGTTTCAAGTAAAGATTACAGCCAAAGGAGACATTAACCGGAAGCTGCAGAAGGTGCTGCTCCTGTCATTTCAGTGTACCGGAAGTCACTGTCTGTATGCTTCAGGGTTTCTAGCATGACCCTGTTGTTGTTCCGTGTTTACATAGCCACTCAGAACCTGAAGGCAGAGATCGTTTTTGTTAACTTCATTTTAAAATGACTCTGTTTGGCTACAATATTTTTGTTTTAAAAGATGGTAGTGATTATTAAAATAAAAGGGAGATACGATATTTCTCTTTGTTATTATAGTAAAACTGAATAGTTTTCGAGCTTTTCTCTTTCTGTATTGAACATTATTTTACAGTGCAGAAGAAACAAAGTTTATTTTAAATCTTTTTTAGTAGATTTTATTCTCTATGATAGTCTTACTGTAAGTTGGTACATTCTAAAACCCTTTTTATGTTAACGTAAAGTATGATAAAGACGAAGCTTTGGATGCACTAGGAAAAGGGAATGTTTAAAGATTTTTCCGAAATTTCTCTCTATATCTGTTATGCTAGCATACAAATATTGAAAATAATTAATGTTACATATATTTTCAAAATGTGAGAAAGGGAAGACCTCTCAGAGGGTAAATATGATGCAGGCATGAGAACCTGAGTTCTCATCCGCCACACTCACGAAAAGCCAAGTGTGGCGGTATACACCTGTAATTGTAGTGAAGACTCCTGGGCTTCAGTGACCAGCCAGTCTAGGGAGTTGGTGAACTCCACCTCAACCAGTATGAGACCCTGTCTCAAAGTGAGGTGATCATGGAAAACACTTGATGTTAACCTCTGGAGTCCATGGGCAAACATACCTGCACATGCATGTACACCACACATACCAACACCAACATGTGTTCAAAATACTTGTTTAGAGACATGAAACTCAGGCCCCTCCTCCCCTCCCCCAGTCAGCAGTTCATGGTAGCTTAGGCTGTAGCCCAGGTTGACTTTAATCTTGCTCAACTTCTAGGGATATGATTACAGGTGTGAGTCACCAAGGCTTGTTTTGTTTTTCTTAGTGTTTAGTCATGAACTAATAAACCAAAGTTCTTCCACGAAGACACAAGAACAAATAGTATACAATTAAAAAAAATTAATAAAGCAATAAAACTGTTCTTCCTGCCTAGTTCCTTTTCATGTGCATGTTGAGTTGATAATGCACGCGGTGCTGTTAGAGCTGTGAGGGCTGTGGCTCCCTGTGGCTGAGGGTTTCCATCTCTAGAACAGACTTCTCAGGGGAGGTGTATAGATAGGCTAGGGTCCTGTTTGTTGTGGTTCAGATGAAGCAATAGTTGAATTTTGAATAAACATTTAGAAATATTTTATCAGTTCTGATACTCCAGTGACATTTTTTACTGCATCTCACAAAATTGCAGTCTTTAGTGTATCAGAAAAATTTTGAAGCTGTTCGTTTTTAACAAATTTTGTTAAAGTGGGCTCAGCATAATAAGGAGGATGAGGAGAAAAATACACTTCACATTATTTTCAGAATTCCCCTCTAGAAATGTAATCCTTTGCATGGATTTCTGGTTTGAGGTAGTGGTGAATGGCAGTAGATAGCATTGCGTTTGGGATTTTATTCTTTAAATTAATTAACCTTGTTTTACTCATTAAATAAGTTCCCATTATTGTTATTAGTTCCTAGTATTTACAGTTTTTGTTTGCTGAATAGCCCTTTCATAACATTGTAACAAAGGGATTTTTTTCCCTCTTTAGGTCATACAGTGGTTACTAGAAGAAAAGTTGTGTGCTCTACAGTGTGCTGTGTTTGATAAGTCTTTGGCAGAATTGAAAACACGAGTGGAAAAGATAGAGTGCAACAAAAGACATAAAGCAGTGCTCACTGAACTTCAGGTTTGGACACTAATACTAACTTTATTCTCCGTGTTTCCTTTTCATAACTTATCATTTTCATGTATTTAAAGCAGACCGCAAAATACATTTATATTCTATATAAGTAAAAAGTGTCTGTTATTAGTTTTTGCTGGAGCCATACATAGATGCTTTGCCAACTGAAATGTATTATTTTGCAGTTGGAGACTGGAAACCCAAGATGAGGGTGCCAGCAGGTGGATTTCTCTGAGCTGTACTATTGTGAGGGAGAATAAACAGCATGTCTCTTCTCTTAGATGGTTGCTGACAGTTCTGAGGAGGCCTCATTGCCATTCTTGGCTTTACCTACATGTGTATTTTGTGTTCAAATTTCTCTGTATTTGAAGGTACCAGTTATATAAATTAGATTAGAAGGGAACTACCCCAGTCCAATAGACTTCATATTAATTGGTTATTTTGCAGTGACCCTTGGATGCTGTGGTTGCAGACTTTAAGATGTGAGCTTGGGCATAACGTAACCCACATGAGATACTGGGAAATTACCTAAATTGGTACTTAAAATAAGTAAGTTTGTCATTGAAGAAAGATTGGTAGGCAGCATACCATAGATACAAAATAATATTTGTGAAGGGTTATTGTTGTATCTATCTACTTTTTTGTGGATAGTATACTTCAGTGTTGCTAGTTCATAGTGTTGGAGAGATTACTCCGTGGTTAAGAGCTCTGGCTGCTCTTGCAGAGGACCCAGGTTCAGTTCTTAGCACCACATACTGACTCACAATTGTCTGCAACTCCAGTGGGGACCTAATACCTTATACTGGCACAAGACACATGCATGGTGTATGTACATACATGCTAGTAGAAATATTTATACACATTATTTTTTAAAAAGATGTTAGTTACTAATCCATATTAAAGAGAAGTACTGTTTTCTACATATAGTGAGGATGATCTAGGACTCTGCATAGGCATACACCACCACGCCTGGTTTTTGTGGTGTTAGGCCTCAAGCCCAGGGCCTTTTCCATGCTAGGCAAACACTCTACCAACTGAGCTCCCACTCCCCTCTCCTTGCTTAAATGCTTCCTTATTCAGTTGGTTCCTCAAACAAGATGTGTAGAATATTCTCTAATGATTCTGCAAGGAGAATGAAAAAGATTTATAAAATGATTGGTCTTTTTTATTAGTATTATAACAAACGTCTTTATTCTAATTGGCTTAAGTTCTACTTTATCAGGTAACATGTATGTAGCTTCTCCAGCTTGATTTCAGTTTTCAGTTATCATTTGTTTGGAATATCATTTTTCATCCTTTGACATTAATTCTTGTTCTGTCAGTGTGATGTGTTTCTTGCAGGCAGTAATCAGTTGGATTATTTTTTTTTCCTTCCTATTTTAATCTAATCAGCCTGTCTGTATCTTTGAACTGGAGAGTGAAGATGATTTACATTTATTACTAAGAATTATATTCTCATTCCTAGAATTCTGTCTTTTTCTATGTTCCCAGTTCCTCAGTTGATTTGAGTACTTTTTTTTCTTTCTCCCTTACTCATCTTAGAAGTTTGCTAGGTCACTATATTGAATTTATTTTATTATTTCCTAATTCTTTTTGTTTATACATGCTCATGGAACGCATTTTTTTCTAAGCTTTTGTGATTGTGACTTTCTTTTTGTGTATGTAGGATCTTCTTAATGTTTTACAATTTGTATTTAATTAGTCATGGTTTAATTTATTGTTTGTTCATCTTAGAGTGCCTTTTCCCTATTATAATTTAGAGGATAATTTTTCTGCATATTATAACCTGTTTAGTAGTAATTTACCTGAAATATGTCATTTCATGTTTTCCTGGCTTTTAGGTTTTATGCTGTAATAAAATTATAATGAATTTGCCGTTATAAGATGGCCCTTCACTTTTGTAGCTATCTGCATTATTTTTTGAGTACTCTTAGGTTTCTAATCTTTTTTTACATCAGAGTTAATTTTCTGCTATAATATAATTGAATAGATTTTTTGTGCTTTTAGTTTGCATCTCAGCTCTTTCTTACCTCAGGGATTAAGTTTGGTCTCTTAGTGAGAGTTCCTGAAAGTTGTGGCTGTGGTTCATTATTTTTTCTATTTTCCTTTATTGCTGAGTGAATATAAGATTTCCTTACCTTGTTTTCAATCCCTGATATTCTTTCTTCTGATTGATGTCCTTAAGTGATGCATCCCACTGAGTTTAAAAAAAATTTTATTCACCTTTTTATTTCTATTTCCATGAACTGTATATTATTCTTGAGAATCTTTGTTTTTAAATTTGAATTTGTTATCTAAATACCAAATGTGCTTTGTTTCATTTAACTTAATTTTTTCATTGAGGTGATATTTCTTTTCAAAATTAGATTTTTTGATTCTTTGGCATTTCAATCATTTTGTTTGTCCTTGGGTTCAGTCATTAAAATGTCATTAACTTTTGGCAAACTCTTATGTGTCTGTGTTTTCTACTGTTCTGTGTCTGTTGATTGATACTTCTGGTTTCATGATTTAGCTGACTGCTTTCCTTTGAGGCTTCAGTCTCTCTTGAGAAGAGAGTATACCACAGTAACAGTTACTCTTTAAAGAAAGAAAACTCCATGCTTAAATTTTATTTATTTATTTACTTATTTATTCATGTATTTTGTGTGTGTTTATGTATGTATATGTGTGTATGTACGTGCATGCATACATACATGGTGCACATATGGAATCAGGACAGCTTGCAGAGGTAGACTCTCTGTTATGTGGGTCTGGGGGATGCAAGTGCTGAGCCATCTTGCACAACAACATCCTTAAATGTTGTAAAATATCAGAGAAACAACATCTGTTCTCATACTTAGGGTAGAAGAGCAAAAACCCAGGACATATATGATAAACTCAGGACTTTAAAATAAAGTCATAGTTAATTAGAAATAGAAAAGGAAATAGGGAAAGGACAGAATAGGAGAAGCAAATCATGAAAGACAGGGATAACATGCTGTGCAGGTATGAGAAACTTCAGTGAGTGGTAAACACACACATACACACACACAGAGAGAGAGAGAGAGAGACAGGCAGACAGACAGACAGAGGTTGCTGAGCCTAGCAAGAGAGAGAGACACGCACCCACAAAGGGATACAGAACAAAGCAAAAGCAAGCAGAAGGTCAGTTGAAGAGAGAGTTTAAGAATGTTCTGAGGTGCTTTCCCCTAAGCTTGTTAGTTGGCAGTTCACTTGCTTCAGAAGGTAGAGTGTTAATGAACTTGTTTTCTCTGTGAATTCCAAACAGGTTAGACCTTAAAGGATAATTTATAAAACCTCATCTGCCCTGTTGTAGTCAGTAAAGCCTTTCTGAAAAACATTTCCTCACCCAAAGTTCCACTTCTGTGAATGACCCACATGAAAGAAATATTCTGAAAGAACGAAGCTGTCAAGCCACCAATTACAGCCTTATATGACTGTAGCAGGGCACTGGGAAACAATCGCCTTATTCAGTAGAAAAAAAAAAATATTTAAATTTAATCAGCCCCTACTACAGCCATTGTCAACCTGTAGGGGTCACATATAATATCCTGCATATCTGGTATTTACATTATAGTTCATAACCATAGCATAAATTATAGTTATGAAGTAGCAGTGAAATAATTTTATGGTTGGGGGTTTACCACAACATGAACTATTTTTTTTTTTTTTTTTGTTTTTGTTTTTTGAAGGATTTGCCTGCATGTATGCCTGCATGCCATAAGAGGGCACCAGGTCCATGAGGAACTGTATTAAAGGGTTGCAGTGCTGGGAAGGTTGCTCTAGTACAAAAGATCACATACATACAAATGAGTCAGTACAATACTTAGATATCCAAGTAGTTTTGTCAAGGGGTCTCTTAGGATTTGCATGTATGCCCTACATGCCTGTGTTTTCAGTAACAAAGCTAAGTGTGATTACAACCATTTTGAAAAATAACTGCAAATAAAATCATACATATTCCAAAATATTCTGCTGGAAAGTAAACACACCTTGTGGGTAAGGGCAAGCTGGTCTATTAGTATTTACACTTGGCAGTTATTTCAGGAACAACAGTGGGTTTCCTATGATTTTCTATGTTTTCCAAGTATGTATTTTACAATCAGCTTGTTTTACTTTGTTCTGAAGAGCCTATTATCTTTAGATTTCTCTTGTGTATAGCAGACTTTTAAGTTACTTGACTTTTGTTTGTTTTCTAGGCCAAAATAGCCAGATTAACCAAACGTTTTGGAGCAGCCAAAGACGATCTTAAGAAAAGACAAGAAGTAAGCATTGCTGTTCTAGCTGTGTTTGTAGCCTTAGTGTCTATTGCTGTGAAGAGATTCCATGACCATGGCAACTCTTACAATGGAAAACCAATTGGGGCTGGACTACAGTTGCAGAGGTTTAGTCTGTTATTGTCATCATGGGAAACATGGTGGCACATTGGCAGACATGATGCTGGAAATTTCTACATTCTGATGGACAGGCAGCAGGAAGAGAGAGGGACACTGGGCCTGGCTTGAGCATTTTAAAACCTCAAAGCCCACCCTCAGCTTCTTCCAACAAGGCCACTTCTCTTAATAGTGCCACTTTCTGGTGCCCAAGCATTCAGATCTTTGAGCCTATGTAATACATTCAGTCCCAAAGTCCCCATAATCTATAACAATCCCAATACTGTTTAAATGTCCAAAGCTCAAAGTCTCTTCTAAAACTCAAGGCAATCTCTTTTAAGTGTAACACCCTGTAAAATTTAATAAAAAACCAGATCACACACTTACAACAAACAATGGCACAGGGATATATATATATATATATATATATATATATATATATATATATATATATACATACATACATACATACATACATACATACATACATACATACATTCCAAAAGGAAGGAAAGGGGGTATAGTGAGGAAACAGTGGACCAATGCAAGACTGAAAATCACCTGGACCAAGTCCAGACTCTGCACTCCATGTCTGATGTCAAAGCGCTTTTCAGATCTCCAGCTCCTTTCAGCTTTGTTGACTGCGACACACTTCTCCCTCTTGGGCTGGTGCCACCCCTCATAGCAGTTCTCCTTGGCAGGTGTACCATAACTCTGGCATCTTAACATCACCCCACAGCTTCATGCAGTGTCTTCTCTGGGCCTACATGGAGGGGCACCTGTGCCACGTGCCTATCCTCAGTGGCTTTTCTTAGCTGCAGAGGGGGTTTCCACAACCTCTTACACCCTTGACTCCAAGGCCAGAAGAAGCATGTATATGGTCAAAGCTGGCATTGGGGTTGGAACATGGACCCCTCATTCAGTTACATCTTCACCATCTTTCTGCTTTCGATTGCTTCTTTCACTGCCTAAGCTTGGCTATTCTGGAACTTACTCTGTAGACAAGGCTGGCATTTTGACAGTAAGAGAAAATTTGAGGTTTATGAAGAAAACTTTCCACAAGAAAATAGGAAAAGACAAAAGTAGTGATGTCTGACCTGCAGTGTTTTTTTATTGTGTTAAATAAGGGATCAAATACTGATTAAATATTTGAATGTCTCTTTTAAAAAACAATTCCTATATATTGAGTTTTATTTTTTACTTTTCCCCCTCTTTCAGAGCCCCCCAAACCCACCTATATCACCAGGAAAGCCTGCCAGTGATATCAGCAGCAATAACAATGTGACCTACAGGTAAGAACTGTGGTTGGTTTGTCGTGCTTAACTTAGCAAGGTTCTGGTTTAGTCTTGGCAGCCATGCGTGAGTCATGTCATAGTTGCTTTTTCTATTTCGCTCTCTCTCTCTCTCTCTCTCTCTCTCTCTCTCTCTCTGTCTCTCTTATATATATGATTGTTTTTGTTAATTATTGGAATGTTTTCTTTTGTAGAGACTTTCTTTTTGCTTTTGCAGTGTTGAGAACTAAATCTAGGGGCCACCCTTCCCCTAAACCCTACATATTTCTTTAAGAACATGTCATTAATCGTTTTTAGCAATTGAAAACTGCTTTGGTCAGTGATGAGAATGTGCCTAGGGACTCTTCAGCAGTGTTCTCTGACATGGCAGTCTGTGCACCAACTGGCTTCAGGCGTAGGCTGCAAAATACCATATCTTACCCTTTCCCACCAGGGCCACTGTTTTTCCTGTGCTTGGGTGGGTTCCCCTAGGATGGCGTAGCCATTGACTGTACATGTATCTGTTTCATAGAAATGCAGGCACAGTACGGCAGATGCTGGAGTCCAAAAGAAATGTTAGCGAGGGTCCAGCACCATCCTTTCAAACTCCTGTGAATACAGGTAACTTGTTTCTGTAATACCAAAAATCCATTTTCTTGGGCCCTAACATCTTTGGTTCTCTTATATTCTTTTGTGGTTGGAAATGGGTTAGAAAACAGGGCACTTTGTCATAAAAATGAATACATTTAAAAATGATTTCGGATTATAAACAAGAATGCATTGACATTCCTAGTGTAGTACTTCTCAGACTTTCTCATGTCTGGGCCCTTTTACAGTCTCATGAAATTACTAAGAACTCTAGAGAATTTTTGAGTTACGCTAATTGGTATTATCAATTGAGTTAAAATACAACTTTAAGGACTTCTGTTCACTTAAAATTAATAATAAGCCTAGAGGCAGCCGAATGTCTATGAGTTTGAGGCCAGCCTGGTCTACATAGTGAGTTCTAAGACAGCCAGGGCTGCATAGTGAGCCCTTGTCTTGAGTAAACAAAAGCCACACAGAAATAAATTGTGATAATCTTATAATATGTACACAAAGAAACTTTTTAAAAATAGAAAGTAACTGTATTTTTTAAAAAAAATAATCAGTGATGGGGCAGAGATCTGAGTTTCATTTCCAGAACCCACACTAAATAAATAACTGAAAGCAACCACCACACTTGGCTGTCCCAGTGCTAGAGAGGGGAGTCAGGCTCTGTCCAGCCAGCCTATACGGTGAGCTGCAGGCCAGTAAAGACCCTGTCCCAACAAAGGGAAAGAAAGGGAGATGGAGTGGCTGCCACTAAGATACAGAAGATTGTGTGTGTGAAGATGTCAATGAGTAAATAAAAATACTGAAAGACAAAGGTCAATGGCACCAGAGCAATGACACTCGAGCTCTCCTCTGACCTCCACATGCTAATGTACACACATGAACATATGTGGTCATGTGTAAATATCCCAGTGGAAACTGGGATGTGTAACCTTTACATATTTCTTTAAAATCTTGGTTTAGATGTTAAATAGCTAAAGCTGGCTGGATTTGTGTGTCTGTAGCCTGCTTTCAGCGTCTTCCAGTCTACTGACTTCATATATGAAAAGGTACCCACCTTTGATGCTAGCTCCATGGGCCTAGGGCAGAGTAGAGTCAGAAGTCATATGCTTTCTCATTGTTCTTGTAAGTCACTCTTTCCAGAAAGTGGGTCCTGCTAGGCATTGTAAGTGCAGGCCCGTAATCCCAGAGCTCATCAGGCTGTGCAGGTAGATGGTAAGTTCAAGGCCAGCCTGTGATTTTATTTGAGGATGGGACATGATAAACGTTGTACTTTTTATTACTGCTTTATGGACATTTTAAAATGAAATTTACTTTTTTAAATACTATAATAAGCATTTGCTAGGGAAGATGTTAGCGTGTGACAGGAGAACCTCTCTCTATACTACCTTGGAATTTGTAGTTTTCTCCTTACCAGCTTCCTTTTCCATTGTTTATCACCATGGTATATAAATATTACATGGAACCTTCCATTCATAATTTATGTCTTATTTTATTATTGTTTACTATGTCTAATTTCCAAATTAGTGTACAGTTTCTAATTATTATCATGACCTTTCAGTGAGTTGTGAATGTATTTAAAACAGTTGTCTGCTGAGATCATAATGGAGTTGAGAAATTCTTGTCAGCTTCTAAGGCCATAGTTGTTTTACTATTGTTAATAGTTACTCAGCATGTTACTCCTGAGTGTGTTGTGTTCGTGTGAGCAGAGCTATGGCTTTGTGACCTATGCAAACTGTAGTAAATAGAATTGTGTAGGATATTGAATGACAGCTATTTACTGCTTTACTAGTATTACCAATAGTTTACTGTAAACTGATAGTGCCTTTTTATGCTTATAGTGGCTGCATATATATATATATATATATATATATATATATATATTTATATATTTACTGTCTCTTGACCCATTGATTGATATGTCCCAGCTAGATTTGTACAGTCTTGTAATCATACAGCATTGGAATTATGTAATGACACATTTTTCAAAACATACCCTTGTTGTTAAGGGTTACATGGCTGCATAGGAACAAACACAGTGTGTGTAAAATTCTCTGTTCTCTGTCTTATGCATCACTGGGAGTCTTAGGGTATAATGGCTACAGATAGGGACTTGCTGGACTAAGCCAGTAGGCACTCACAATTGACCACATAGTGCAAAAGTCGAATGTCTCATTATTATTATGAAAATAGCTCTGACTTTGTAAACTGCATGCAAGCTTCCCAGGAAACTAGAGTATCTCTCTGCTCTCACCGATGATTACTCCTCTGGTGTACCTATGATTTTGGAAAGACTAGATATCTGAGTAGTCACTTAAGTTGTATTTTAAACCTGTGCCAATGAGACTTAACCTAAGAAGTTGAGTCATAAGCTATTGTCAGTCCCTGTGGTCAGCACTTACTCTTTTCCCTCTTCGGTTTGTTCCGTTTCTTAATTCATCTCCATTTTTACTTAGTGTTCTCCTCTGTCTCAGCAGTGTTTGTAGAGTCTCCTCTAAGGGGCCCTGCTCCCCAGTTGAGTTCTTTCCTAGGAACTCAGGAAGACAGCGGTCAGCTTCACTCACTAATGGCCAGGGCTTTCCAGATTTCCTACCTGAGCCCGATAGCGTTGATGTATAAGGCAGTTACAATGTTTAGAATGAGGTTTAAAAAATAGCTGCCTATTTTTACTTAGTTTTCAGTATTTTTTAGTTGTTTTCCCAGTTCCTCTGATGTGAATGTTGTCATTTTCAAGAACTGTTTTGCTATTGAGATAGCAATCTTGTATATTAACATTAAATCATGTGGCATTTTTATAAAGAAAGCAAGTGTACATGCAAAAGTGCCTCTAAACATTTCAGGGTTTTCAAACTTGAGAAATTTTTGTGATGGTTTTCTGTATGAAATATATATTGAATTTGTGACTTATTTTTTGCTAATAAATTAAGGTAGCCCTGTAGACTGAGACTTGTGTTTTTTGTTTTTTTTTTTTTTTTTCTCTGTAGTGTCTTCAGCCAGCCTTGCCACTCCTCCAGCAATGGTCAGTAGTCAGCCTAAACTGCAGCCTTCAGCAAGCTCAGGTTCCCTGCCGGCAGCATCTCTTCTTCCCGCTCCCAGCACAGCCACAGTAGTTGCCACTACTCAGGTGCCTAGTGGAAACCCTCAGCCTACAATCTCCCTGCAGCCCTTGCCAGTGATTCTGCACGTCCCCGTTGCCGTGACCTCTCAGCCTCAGCTCCTACAAAGCCATCCAGGGACTATCGTGACGAATCAGCCGTCTGGCAGCGTTGAATTCATATCTGTGCAAAGCCCACCGACAGTGAGTGGGCTTACCAAAAATCCAGTGTCCTTGCCACCCTTGCCAAACCCCACTAAACCAAACATTCCGTCAGTGCCCAGTCCTAGTATTCAGAGGAACTCTTCTGCCACTGCTGCGCCCTTGGGGACAACGCTGGCTGTACAGGCCGTCCCAACTGCGCATTCTATTGTGCAGGCCACAAGGACTTCTTTACCCACAGTAGGCCCGTCAGGACTGTATAGCTCATCAAACAATCGCGGCCCAATACAGATGAAAATCCCAATATCTGCTTTTAGCACTTCATCTTCTGCAGAACAAAATAGCTCTGCCACCCCAAGAACTGGTAAGTCGGTTTGCTTAGTAACAGAAACAAAAGCTCTTTCCAGCATCATTGGGAAAATGGGGTAATTTCCTGAATCCCTAATGATAAACGGCACTGTTGAAGTGGGGCGTGAGAGAGGTTGGTCTGACTGGGCTTTCTTACTGAGGGGTAGGGTTTGTATCACTTTGCGGGCTCTGTCACAGTTTCATCCAGGTACACAACATGTAATAGTTCAGGATTACTCATTACTTCAAAAAAGTAATCACAGGTGATTTCGGCCAGTAGTTACTCTCCTGTGCCTGCCCTGTCTCATCGCCCCATACCCTTCCCAGTCTGAAAGAAATTTTGGTTGGGAAGCTAGCATTTATTTCTAGTTTATTTTTTTAGTAATTATCTCATTTTGGCAGTTTTTATATGTGTTATTTTTAATTTCTTTTTATAATAGATTAGGTGGGCCAGGACAACTGAGTAAATACATTTTAAGTATCTCATTTTAGAAGTGTATTGCAATATATGACTAGGAAGTGGTGGCATGCACCTTTAATTCCAACCCTTGGGAGGAAGAGTCAGGTGGCAGAGTTTGAGGCCAGCCTGGTCTACAGAGAGAGCGCCTGGATAGCCTGGACTACACAGAGAAATCTTGTCTCAAAAATTAAAAAAAAAAAAAAAAAATCTTTGACCATGCCTAATTTCAGGGATGCCTTAAATGTTAGTAAAGTGGTCATTTGTCCTTTTAGACTACCCATAATTTAATCTGGAATCAAGTGGCAAATTTTTGATGAATATGAAAAGTGCAGTTAAATTATATATACCCTTATAACATTGTTATAAATTAATTAGTAGGTCATATAACTAAAACTTGCCATGTCTTTTTATATACATAACATTTAATTAATAAAATATGTGCTACATAACTAGATTACATTTGTACATCTTTGTTACAGGTCATTGTATCCTTAATGGATTTTAAGTAAACAGTTTTGTTTATCATGAAGTAGATACAGGTCAAATGGTACTTTATTCCTTCAAGAAATAATTGTTGTTTGTAATTTTCTAAAGTCCTGGAGGCACATAGAAACATGTAAGGTAGTCCTAACTCTATAGATTAAATATGCAGCCTTGCCATTAAATAAGTAGTTTTAAATGTAATAACTATTAAAGTAGGCTGTTTTCTTTAAGAAGATGTAAAGGGTGACGAGAGTCCTTGAGCTAGACAGAGTCCTGGGCTAGACAGGATATGGGGAACTGTAACATACACAGTTCTTCAGAGTATGGAGGATGTGGTATCATGATTATTGACTAAAATGTGAAAAATGGTTTAATAGAAATAACAATGAATTTAGGGCAACCAAATGATGAGGCAGGAACAGTGCCTTAGAAGAAGAGATGGGAACATGAAGGTTCGTTCGGAAGAGAACGAAGTACTCTAATTTGATGATCATCTCTTGATAATTTGTTAATGTAAGATTAGATAGCAAGGGCTGCAGAGATGGGTGGCTCAGCAGTTAAGACTGGCTGCTCCTCCAGAGGACCCAGGTGTCCGGATTCCTTACACCCAGAAAGCAGCTCAGACTCATTTAACTTCAGTCGCAGGGGACCCGTGCCTTCCTCTGGACTCTTTGGGTACCAGCACATGGTGCTCAGGCATCCTTGAAACAAAACACCTCCACAAAAAACCAATCATGTTTTAACACAAAGATTAACACTAAGAGAAATGTTAAATTTAAAGATGGTTTGGACTTGCTTTTTAAATGTGTATGTCTGTATGAGGAGGACAGAGGGTGTCAGTTTGCCTAGAGCTGGACTTGTTCATTATGAGCTACTTGATAGGGGTGTTGGAGATTGAATTCTGGGTTTTCTGCAGGAACAGTCTGTGCTCCTAGTTTGGTCTTCTAAAACCTTCAATGTTCATCTCATTTAGTAAGCTGGCTATTAGGGGTTGATTTGTAAGGGAGTTATGCAGTTGTATAGAATTTATTAAACACCTCATTCCAGAATATGGGGAAACTGGAGTTTAAATAACACTAAGCAGTTACTCCTTCACCCATAATTTCCTTGGAGTTTCTACAGGCACTCTGCCTCACATTTCTACTCATGTAATTATTCAGACCTACCATAGATTATCCACCAAGCAGGTAATTAAATAAAAGATTTTTTTTTAAGCTAAAATTTCACTTCACATCTTGGTTAATTTTGTTGATTCATAGAGCATAGATGGTTTCTAACTTTCTACTTTGAGCAGTAGCTCAGGTGGATAGTAGAAGGGAGAAATGCACTGAGACTGAAAAGTGCTGCATTAAAAGTTGAGGGAAATTGCTGGGCTGTGGTGGCCCACACTTTTAATTCCAGCACGCGGGAGGCAGAGGCAGGTGGATCCCTGTGAGTTTAAGGACAAGCTGGTCTACTGAGTGAGTTCCAAGACAGCCAGGTCTGTTACACAGACAAACCTCGTCTTGAAATAGCAGCAACAACCAAAACAAACACAGAACAGCAGAAAACATAGTTAAGGGGATTTTTAGCCTGTAGTTAAAAGGGCAGGGCATATTGAAAATCTAGAGGAAAAAATATTGTCACAACAGTTTTGTGAAAAATACATGTGTTAAATTCTTTTTTTTTCTTTGTTTAATTCTCAGAAAACCAGACAAACAAAACGGTAGATTCTTCTGTTAGTAAGAAAGTGGCAGATAGCACATCACAGGTAAGACTGTCCTCTTTCCCTCAGGGTTGTTATGATCAACAGAAAGTTCATTTTTCCTTACATCATTAATTGCAGGTAGTAGGTTTTTGGGGGATTTTGTTGTTTGTTTGCCCAGGCTGGTCTCAAACTCATGAATATAAGCTGTCTGTTCCTTTCCCTTCTTTTCTTCAGGAGACCTTTGTTGTATTTTATTTTAGTGGATTTTAATAAGGTCATCAGCATTTGGATAAACTGTTCAGTGTAGCGTGTCTCCTTGTCCCTCTGTGTAGCGTGTACCTTTCCTGTTTGTATTCAACATTTCCTTTTCATTGTTGATTTCATTGGCGCTGTTGGGATTACATGAGAGTGCATTTGTAGTGCTCTGCTTGAAGTTCATCGGAACTTTTCCATTTGTAAATGTTTTCCTTCAGATTTTTTGGGGGGATGTCATCATTTCTTTACATCCTCAGCTTTTCTTCCCCTCACCTAAAAGATCTTATGACATGCATTTGTTTGGGGGAGTAGCAGGGTCCACAGGGAGATTAGCGGACAACCAGTGGAATCAGTTCTCTGAAGTGTAGTTTAGCTAGGTCCTGGGGGTGCACCTCAAGTTCTGGTAGGCCTGGCGCCAAGAGCCTTTGTCTGCTGAACCGTCCAGCTGGCCCTCCACCAGCTTTTTGTTGAGCTGCATTAATTCCAGTGGTTCAGTAATTCTTTTTGTTTTATTCTCTGTTCCTTGGACTGGAAAAATTCTGTTGATGGACCATCAATTTCATGGAGTTTATCCGCATCTTAGAAACTGCCTTGGAGCCCAGCCAGATGATTTTTAATATATTTGATATTTATTCTTTGAGAATTTTATGAATGTATACAATGCATTTTGATCACATGCACTCCAAACTCCTGCTAAGTCTCCCACATGTCCCTCCCAATTACTGCTGCCCATATGTGCGTGGAGGTGGGGTTAACACGCCAGCGGCCGCACCCTCGTCCGGTAGCCATCAAGTGCTACTAATGCCTTAGCTAGGGTGGGGCCCCACGGACCCTTCTTTACTCATGTTTGAGTTTGACTGGCTGGATCTTAGGGGCTCTTGCTGTAGGTTGTCACAGCCATGTGTAGTCGTTACTGAAGCTGCTGTGTCGTGTCTGAAGACAGTCCCAGCACTCCTCCTGTCCTTTGGCTCTCTGTTGTTTCCAGCTCCTGTCCCAGGCATGCTCAGCCTTGGATGGATTGCAGATTGTCGCACTTTCGGCTGAGCACAGTCTCTCAGTCTTTAGCTGTGTATAACAGCCACCCACTGCCAAGAGAAAGTTCTCTCACCAGAATCAAGAGCAGTAAAAATGCAAATATTTAGAAGACAGTTTAGCAAACAACAAGAGTGTGTTCAAGTTTGCCCCACGCCACACCCTCCCCGCCCCCACAAAATTTGACCAGGTTTATAATACCAGTCACACATTGTCTTCTGTGGGGGCAGGACTCAATAGTCAAGTTTGATTATTTCTGTAGCAATAATGTCATTGTTGGGCTATCCCCATCACATTACTACTATTTGTGCCAGTGGGGATGTCACATCTTGCCTGGAAGATCAGTATTGTGGCATGCAGGTACCAGTACTAGGTAGACCAGTGATATCTTCCTCTCCCAGTGGCCAGCATACCTGCCAGGACTATGAAAGAAGACAGTGAGGAAGTTTCCAGTCAGTTCCAACTTGGTATCTTCATGTCCTATAACCAAAGTATGGGTGTCTTCAACAATGTTCTCTTACCATGTAGTTATGCTAAACAAAGAAGAGCAAAGGTAATAGACTGTGTTGCTTCGGGGTCATCCATGGCCGTTAATCCTGCATGGCACAAAATTTTATTTAATAACTCATGTCTCCTGGGAGGGACATTGTCCACCTAAGCAGGGTACATCCATTCAAATTCCCTTTTCTTTATGTTTTTTAATTTTTAAATTATTTTAGTGAGTTTTCCATAAGGCCTTTTCATATATCCTTAGGTTTGTTTGTTTGTTTGTTTGTTTGTTTTGAGACAGGGTTTCTCTGTAGCTTTGGAGTCTGTCCTGGAACTCTCTCTGTAGACCAGTCTGGCCTCAAACTCACAGAGATCCACCTGCCTCTGCCTCTGTCTCCCAAGTGCTGGGATTAAAGGCCAGCACCATCAATGCCCAGCCTCCTTAGTTTCTTTTAACTTGCTCTTTATCCCTCCCTCTTCTCTGATCTCTCCCAACCCACCTACTGCAACTAATTTTTTTTTAAAAAAGAGATTTAAGCTATTTTTATATTTTACTAGGGAGGACTGTTTTTGAGAAAGTTCTCACTATATAGCTCTGAATGTCCTGGAACACATTATGTTATAGTTATTTTTATGTAACTTAGAATTTTGTTACAAAGTATTTGAAAATTAGGATGTGTTGCAATAATTAGTATTTTTATGTTTTATTTATTGTTTATTGGTAGTTGTATGTATATGAGTGCTCATGTGCTAAAATGTGCAAGTGGAGGCCTGGTCGACAACTTGTGGGAGGAAATGAACTCTTTTCTGTCACCATGTGACTCCCAGAGCTTAAACTTGGTCAGGCTTGGCAGCAAGTGCCTTTACCCACCAAGACATCGTCCAGCTCTGAGTTTGAACTCACTGGTGCGCTGTGCCCTGTCAGACTGTTGAGGTAAAGGCACGTGGGGGCCTGGCTTGCACTAGGCTCTACCCCTTTTGCTCTAACTTGGTATTTGCCAGTTCCATTAGAGAATCAACCAGGTTTTGCTTTTCAGAGTGGGAAAGCTTCTGGCAATGATTCAAGCGGTGTCATTGACCTCACGATGGACGATGAAGAGAGTGGAACTTCACAAGGTACTTAAAGAAATGCTATGATGACATCTCCCTCTTAATATTTGGTGATATTTTGGGAAGGTAAAGTTGATGCATTAGAATTCAGAAACACCAGTAAAACCCTGAATGAAGATGAGCAAGGTATAGTAGAAAGCAGCAGTTAGAGGGCCTCCCTTATGCCTCCCAGCACCATTGCTGTCTGTGAATCCTCACCATCATCTAGAGGTGAAGGAACCTTAGGAAGCACCAGAATCAGCAGGAGACCCAGGCATCAAGTCCTTTGCTTGCTCTCTTGGTCCCCTCCCCCTTCCCCTCTCTCTCCCCTCCCCCTTCTGTCTTCCCTCTACTCTCTCTTCTAGTGCAGAGACTTTTAAGTGTATGTCCATTTAATTTTGATCTTTAGAATTTATTTCCTTTAGTGCTATGAAATAAAAATCAAAATTTAATAACCAGTCTCATCAATCATCCCTAATAATTTTCTTAGTTGCAGTATTCAGAAACTAAATTGGGTAGCTACTAAGCCGTATTCTTGGATTCGTGAATAAATGCTCCTTGGTTAATTCTAATGGGGAAAGTCCTGAATTCAGAGGTTCATCATCACCAGCACCATCGTCTTCATCAATGTACACTAATGTAGTCCCTACTGTGGTGATTTATAATGTAAATCTCCAGTCATGATTCAAAGTATAGTGTTATCAGACTTCTTTGGCTATCCATGTTCTTGTTCATAGACTTACATTAAACCATGATGATAATGTATGCATTTGGAAAGATCAAATGCTAATTGTTTTATCTTGAAATCAATAAACTTAACAAGCAAAGGTTTAACAAAGTCGTGTTTTAGGGTATAAGACAGTTGATTTGGGAGAAATAAGATTGAGTCAATGTAGTTAACTTTGGTCACCATAGAGCTGTGTACAGCCGACGTTCAGTTGAGACAACCATCCTGGCTGACCTCATGAAGGTGTGGGATGCACTTGTCCGATGGTGATTTGAGACTTTCAAATCGTCATTTCCCTTTCAGTGGTGTTCAGTTTGCTTTTGTAGATTGATTTGGCTCTCAGAACTTCTTAGAGAACAAAAATAAGTACTGAAGTAGGATGCTGGGAGGGCAGAACTGCCCTTGAGTCCAGGTATCCCAGCTGCTAGCATGCTGAACTCTTGGGGCTGCCTTCATTGCCTGGCCTCTGGGTCATGTGGATTCTCCCATCAGAAGTACATTGTTCTGTTGGGACAAGCTGAGTGAACCACAACTGTCAACTATATTTTAATGAGAAATTCCATAGTATCATCTCCCGTAGAACATAGTCAGCTGATACTCTTCATAGGGTACCATCCAAGTGCTTTCTAATGTTAGGTTTGTCTGAGATGTAGACATTTATTTTGTAGGCCATCAGAGACCCTTTTGATACTTCCAGCCTTTGTACTTTAAGAAACAGTGGTGATGAGCAGGCACTTAATACAAATCGAAGCAGCTCTAAGTAATTGAAGTTTAAGGTCAGGGACAACCATCAGTTCACATCTAGGAGATTGTCTGTGAAACATTCTACGTATAAATACGTAGAAATGCATTTTTGCAATGAAGTGATCCTACTCAGTAAGGTTCTTGCATTGAAAAATAAAACTCTGTTCCTCTAAAAGTGTCAATGAGAGTCCACTAAGAAGCACCGGTGGAGTATTTGAACTTAACAAGAAAAGAAAGAACTTGTTTCTGAAGAGGAGAATTGATGTGCAGGTGCAAGCAAAGTTCCCAGTAAAGGCAGGCAGGCCTGTGCTGCTTGTGTTGCCTGTCGTCAGCCATGTATCTTATGTTTTAATTAGCAGATCCCAAAAAGCTAAGTCATCCTTCTGCACCGACTATGAGCACTTCTCAGCCCATGTCTCGACCATTGCAGCCCATTCAGCCGGCACCGCCTGCTCAGCCATCTGGGGTGCCGACGAGTGGACCATCTCAAACAACTATCCACTTACTGCCCACAGGTAGTTTTTGCTAAGTCACAGAGCAGGAACGTTAGTTTGTGTATAGACAGTGTGGTTATGGAATTGTGTGAAGAATCAACAAAACCTTACTAACTATTATACTTTCAAGAGAATGTTTGTGCTTTTGAACGTGTGATGTGGCCTGGCTTGGCTCATTGAGCAACCTAGGTAGAGGATAATTCTGACACTTTATCTGTGTCATTGTCATTAGTTGCTCAACAGAGCAGATATAAACCATTTGCCTCTCTGGAAAGGCTACTTGTAATGATTTTGTTCTGAATATAACCAAGAAATTTCAGTGATTAGTGTATATGGTGCGCGCGCGTGTGTGTGTGTGTGTGTGTGTGCGCGCGCGCGCACGCATGTGCGTATGTGTGTGTGTGTGTGTGTGTGTAATGTGTGTGTGTGTATTAGTTTGTATATATTTGGAGGTTTAACCTAAGGCCTTAAGCTTGCTAGGTAAGCAGCCGCCTGATGGGCATGTCCTTCTGTATACATGTTTCTCTTATTGATTGATGAATAAAACACTGATTGGCCAGTAGCCAGGCAGGAAGTATAGGCAGGGCTACAAGACGAGAATTCTGGGGAGAGATGCAGAGATAAGTGGCCATGGGGAGACACTATGCAGCTATGGGGAAGATAGGATGTGCTGGATGTTCTCTGGTAAGATAAGGCCATGTGGAAATAATAGGAATGCGTTAATAATTAAGAGAGAGGTAGCTCGTAAGAAGCCTGAGCCATTGGTCAAGCAGTTTATAATTAATATAAGTCTTTGTGTGTTTATTTGGGGCAAAGTGGCTGTGGGACCAGGAGGAACAGAAACACTGTCTATAGGCTACCACTGAGGCAGGCTCTGAAGCTCAAGCTAGTTCTAACCAACCTACCACCTTATCAAGAAGTTCATGCTAATGTTTTTCCTGGTTTTCAAGAGTTTGTAGCCTATTTCACCTAAGCTGTTTAGAAGTCAACCAAGGCAGTATGACTTCTTGCAAATTAGGTTATAGCTCAGAGATTTGTCTGCAGAGTGCTTCCACAAACATTCTTGTGTGGAAGGAAGACATAACTAAGTGTGATTTCAGTGTGAAATTGTTGAGCTTGTTCTTGGTGTGGTAAGTAAATTCTGGTTGAGTGTGGTGACAGCGGAACTTCTGCCCTTCAGAATCTTGATGTGGCCTCATACCCTGCAGCTCCGGCTGCTGTCTATCCTGCTGCCATTTCTAGCCAAAACATGTGCTTATGTAACTATTTCCTGTATAGATGTTTGATGTTGGTCTTCCTATTTAAATGCCATTTTTCTATCTAAGTATAGCCACTATGGCATTCAACCCTTAGCTGTTCTGTGTCTCTTTACCTCGATCCAAAGTTAGGGTGACAGTTACCTAATTCATAGTTTAGAAGGAAGAGTTACTATACAAGCAGATACATTGGCAGTTGCCATCAGATGCTGACACACCTCACTCCCTCCCCACCCCTGGTTGGGGCCGTAGCCTCCTTTATGTAGTATTGGATGGGTCTGTCCTTTGAGCTTTGCTGGCTGTTTCTCTCCGTCTGCTGAGTTGATGAGTGAGGCTAGGTGCTGCTTGGTAGGTTTCATTGAACTTGTTCCTTATTGGTACAAAGTGGCCTGTTAATGCCCCTGTGTCCCTTGCCATGTAGTTAGCTCAGCTAGACACACAGACATGGCTGAAGTGGGTAAAGTGCATGTGACCCAAGGGACTGGAGGAAGGGCTTGGGTGTATGATGTGCAGGTGGCTCTCACAGCCTCCGCCCCCCCCCCCCACGGTTAGATTTCGTGTGATGGTACTTATTATTTTATGCTGTCTTCTTTACATAGAACTAACTCCATTTCTTGTATCTCTTGTTGCTTTCCGTTAGCTCCAACCACCGTGAATGTAACCCATCGTCCAGTAACTCAGGTGACCACAAGACTCCCTATACCAAGAGCTCCTGCAAACCACCAGGTGGTTTACACAACTGTCCCAGCACCACCAGCTCAGGCTCCGCTACGAGGGACTGTGATGCAGGCTCCTGCTGTCCGCCAAGTCAACCCTCAAAACAGTAAGAGAGGGGCTCTTCCTTCTGTAAGGCTTTGTGTGCTGCCCTGTCCTGACATTCGGTTATCATATTAAGGGACATGTTGAGCACCACACTTCATGGCATAGTTAGTAACTATGCATTGGAGATTGTTGATTTTGGAGATTTTAAGTGATGTGATTTCATAGAAAAAAATTGTAAGAATATGAGTAGTTCAACTTCAGCATTCCACAATGTGTACATTCCTCAGTTGACCAAAAGCATATAGGTTTATCCATTAAAATGGATTCTGAAAATAGTTTACCATTTTTTTTCTTCCTAGTTATTTGTTTATTTAGAGACATGGTCTCTGCCTGGCCTTGAGCTCCTCCCTGAGAAACCCACCTGCCTCTACCTCCCAAGTGCTCAGATTACAGGTGTGCGCCACTACACCAGCCCTTCCTATGACTAAGAGAGAAATTGTACGTGTACACTGTAGGGTGTGTAGTCTTTAAGTTGTCTTCAATTTAACGTTGTTGATGGGCTATATCATAGCACACCTTTTGTATTTAATTTAACGTTGTTGATGGGCTATATCATAGCACACCTTTTGTGTTTGTTAATGTTTTGAGACAGGATTTCACTACATATCCCTGGCTGGGTGAAAGCTTGCTGTGCTAACCACGCTAGCCTCAACCTCACAGAGCTCTGCCCACTCCTGCCTCCTTCCTGCATGCTGAGGTTGGAAGGCATGTACTTAAGCTCTACACTTAATAATTGCCAAATTGGAGTTGGAATGGTAAGTTGTGGCTTAACCCAGAAAATGGACGTCATGGCAAAGGTGGTCTATGCCGGCAGTCGTAAAGGCATGGAAAACAGCTAAAGAAATTAAAAGAAGGAAAAGTTTAAAGGAAATTTAGAGTCTATTTGTACTATAATTACAACCATTCTCTATTAAATGAAGACACTATGTATTAGTAGCATAGGGCATACATCTTAGTAATAGAATAGAGCATATGAAATCAAGTTAAGGCTTAGAAGCTGGGCATTAAGTAGGTGCACCCACCTGGAAAGTGGAGGCAGGTGGATCAGGAGCTCAGAGTCATCCTGGGCTACATGAAAACCTGTGTCAAAAAGCCCAAATGAATAAACACATAAAAATGCATAAAAAAGTAATGAAGGTGAAGGAAAAGGAAAGTAATGAAAGTGAACCACAGGTAACCTGTGTCACATTAGGAAGCAGAACTTAATCATTCTTCTGTCTTTCTGTATTACCTCACTGTCCTATGTCCAGTCCTCTCTCCCCTTTCTTTGATCAGTTCTGTTCTTTATTTATTGCCACCAGTGTAGGTGTCACTTATATGTTATATATGTTTGTCTTACATATATATATGTATGTATGTATGTATTATAAAATTTCAAAGCTGATATATATTTGTGTATATTTCTTATTTATAAAATATGCACAACTTAGCTGTTTTTAAAAACTAATAATTCCATTAAGTGTTTGTTTGCTTCTAGGAAAAAAAATTAAACTAAATGGAGCCTTGGGATCATAGTCTTCTGGTTTGGATGGATTTTCTCTAGGCAGTTGTTTGATTGGGACATGAATGAGTTCTGGAACAGCCTGGGCACCTGACAAGACTGGCTTAGATCAAGCACTGAGTGTCTGGGGGGAAGTCATGAGTGGGGTAGTAGATGGCTGTAAATTCTCTACTTATATTGACCTTGGGTAATGTCATAGTACTTTTCCTTGGGGGTGATTAGCTGTATATAAAGAGAAAGTGGAGAGCCCTACTAACACAGGACTGGTGACTTTTTAAAAGAAGATTGTATTAGTTTGTTCGTGCGTGTGCGTCTGTCTGTCTGTCTGTCTGTCAGTCTTCACAGGCCAGAAAAGGGTGTCGGATCACCTGGAGCTGGAGTTACAGGAGATTGAGAGCTATCTGATGTGGGTTCAGGGACCCAAAGTCAGGTCCTTGGAAAGAGCAGTTAGTGCTCTTCCTGCTGACTTTGATGACAGCTTCTGTCTGTTGATCTCTGGCTCTGGTCTGGCTGTTGCCCACACTTGGTGTGCACAGCCATCGTAGGGCTTTTATTTCTGGTCGCCCTGTTCTCCTAAAGGCTCGTCTTTGTGCCGGTCTGGTACCGTCATGTTGCTTCATGCAGTCTGCAGTCCCACCTTATGTTATACTTCATTTTCTTTTGCAGGTGTTACAGTTCGAGTGCCTCAGACAACCACGTACGTTGTAAACAACGGACTGACCCTGGGATCCGCAGGGCCTCAGCTCACGGTGCATCACCGGCCGCCACAAGTGCATACTGTAAATGTCAGTGCTTAGCTTTTGTGCCGTTCTAGTCACCTTTTCCTCTTCTGCTATTGTTGCTTTTGTTTGATTTTTTTTTTTTTTTTAGATAGAGTCTCTCTGTGTAGCACTTGCTGCATGTGTTTATTTCCTTTGAGGCAGGCCTCCACGGAGCTCATACTGGCCTCAGACTCATGGTCCTCTTGCCTTAGTCTCCAGCAGTTGGTGTTCCAGAGGTGCAGCCACACTTGCTTATTTTAAGTAAATACCTAGTGATGTATTTCTTCCAAAAACTTCAACAGAAACCCCAGCCGTACTGACAAAACAAAGCAGAACTTGACTGGTTTTAACTAGTTGGGGGACTTGAGTAGATTTAACAAGCGCAAGCAGTTAAAGAACTAGCAGGGACCCAGCAGACCACAGAAGCTCTTGGCAAACCCATTAAACTCGAGGGCTTTCCTAAGCCTGTGGCTTCAGCCAGCCTCTTAGCTCTTGGTAGCTGTGTGGTTTTAATGAACTGAGATGGTTAAGTCACTCAGGAAGAGATAATTAGAGGAAGTATAGCCATGGCTGCTGTTCCGTCAGGCCTAATCCCAGTTTTGGGGCTTCTCTCCACTTGATTTTTGTCTGTTAACTGGTGATTTGTATATCTCCCCACGAATGATATGTATAATCTCTTTATTACTAGGAACAGTGCCTTTCAGCAAACATCTGCTGAATGATCAGCGTATGATTCAAGTTCTTTCCTGCCTCTGTCCTCCCTGTGTGGCCTCTTACAGTAGGCTTTAGGGGTTTTGCACACCCTCTTTCAGGGTAATTAGCAGATTTTTAATCCCAGCTCAGTGGTGATCCCTGAGGGGAATCACATTTATCCTGTGACTTGTCATTTCTTTTATGCAGCTCTTAGAATAATTTGTCTTACACTTTTAGAAGTTTGACTATAATAAAGCATTGGAACGTAGTAGCTTATGATTGGACCTTCATACAGTTCACTATTTTATTCAAACTGAACTAACCGCTGTGCTTTGCTTTTGTTCTGTTTGGATGCATGCGATCAGTCTAGAGCCTCATCCATCAGTGTTTGCACTGAGCTATACCCTACCTGGAAATACACATTTAGGCAGACACTGTGTTGCTTGAAGTTTGGTAAGGGATGACATTTGTACTCCAGTACGGAGCCAACGAGCAGAGAGTCATGTGTTGTGCCTGGGCTCGCTGCATCTGTTTGCTGGCTCTTTTTTGGATATACCGTATGCCAAAGAAAATGTTAACGCTCACTCTTGTCTGCTAACCTGCTTCCTCTGCTCATCCCTCCCCGGCTAACAGTTTGGGGCATACGGCCCCTTCTGCATCTCTAAGCCCTCCTGTCTTTCATTGTATCGCCTTTCTCATCCAGACTGGCCAAGAGCATAATTCATGTTCAGGGTTATTTATGCGTGTGCTGCAGTCTCTGTATAAAAGACAGTGTTAGTTTAATGTAAGTGTGGTCTTAATGTGCCAACATATATGTTACATAGAATTTTTAAATGGTTTCCTAAAATGAGAATCTGTAGTAGAGAGGGTTAAATTGTAAATTAGTTAGACATAGATGATTCCCACTCGTGTCAACATCTCTCCAATGATATTCCATTAGGAAGGGATTTTTGGTTTCCAAGAAGAAAGTAGTATGTTCATTCTAGGAAATATAATTGAGTAAGTTTAGTGCCATTGTTTGGGTCATGAGTACAATTGCCAAAACTGGTTGTGGTATTGGTGTTTTTCAGAGTTCTTAATGCAAAATGATAACTCTCAATGATCACTAAGGTATCTTCGGAAATGATTCTGTAATGGCTAAAAATCAACACGCTCTTTTCTTTTGTTAGGAGCCCCCACGCCCTATGCATCCAGCACCTTTACCGGAAGCCCCACAGCCACAGCGGCTGCCCCCGGAAGCTGCCAACACTTCTCTGCCTCAGAAACCACACTTGAAGTTAGCGCGAGTGCAGAGTCAGAACGGCATTGTGCTGTCCTGGAGTGTCCTGGAAGTGGATCGAAGCTGCGCCAGTGTGGACAGTTACCATCTCTATGCTTACCACGAGGAGCCCAGTGCCACGGTGCCCTCTCAGTGGAAGAAGATTGGCGAGGTCAAAGCCCTCCCCTTACCAATGGCTTGCACGCTCACTCAGTTTGTGTCTGGCAGCAAGTACTACTTCGCGGTGCGCGCCAAGGACATTTATGGCCGTTTTGGGCCTTTCTGTGACCCTCAGTCCACGGACGTGATCTCTTCCTCCCAGAACAGTTAGACCTTGGAGCCTTTAGCTTCCTCTTTTCAAAGTTCCACATTTTGGGCTTGTTTTTAATCTTGTGCATGAAATTCAATGTAAAATCCACCTTGTACAAGATCTCTTGGACAGATGAGTGTACACACTACGTTTGTTTATAACTGAAGTATAATAAATTCAGCCCGTAAAGCAAGTCTTCCCCTGAACAAGTCAAGCTTCAGGGTTTTGAAATGTAAATTGATCCTTGCTTTAGTTTTGAGGCTGGGGAATACGTATGGGTTTTGTGTGTCTTCTTTCTTTTTCTGTTGGGTTTCTAGTTGTGTGTTGTCACAGTGCAGTCTCCCATCCTTACGCAGGCTTACCTCTCTTCCAGTAGCAAGTGCGTGGAGGAAAGAGCCTGAGGTGCATGCTGCTGCAGCTCCGCCTTCAGGGGGATCTAGAAGATCAGAGAATCTAAACAAAACCCAAAGAATAAAAAAGAAAAACATTTAGCTTGGAGTAGATGAACTTGAACAGATGGCATGTTCTCTCCATCTTTTCTGTGATTTCTTCTGAGTTGCTGATGAGGTGAAAAATGTCCCTGCGCCCTGAGTCCGTCATCTGACTTCTTTCTGCATTTGTGCTGTGCCTTCCAAGCTGCAGAGATACACAGAACGTTTGCCCATTGTTGGTTACTCCTCTTTAACTTTCATTTATCCCTCATTGCCACCAAGAATACCAAACCCTTTATGCATTTTTAAAACCAAGGTGTGTAAGGGTGTGTCTTCTCCTCATCTTCTGTAACATCACTATATTCAACCCCCCAAAAATTTTAAGGACATACTTCTATTTTTCCCCATTATTTAACTCTTTATAAAATAAGCCATATTGTTTAAGAAAAATTCTCATTAAACTTGCTTTAATATCCATGTTGGATTGTTAGAGAACCTGAAGGAAGTTCTGGCTCATCCCATCACTTGTGGGAGAATGTCCTTTCTAAGGCAGTAAATGGCTCTGTTCATAAAAGTGCGGGGCGCTCAGAGTCTCCTCCTGTGAGGCCTTCCTGCTTTAGTCTTCATTTGGTTTTGCTGGTGCCAAGTGGCACCTGACTTCATCAACCTTGGATAGAATTGAGAAGCATATCCTTTTGGGTCATTTCACATAGCTCTTAGATCTGCAGAGTTAATGGCGCAGGCTCACCCTTGCGCCTTCACAGACTGGTAGCTGCTGGACAGTCAGCCGGGTGCTTTAGAGCCGAACAGGAGGGTGAGGTTAAGCTTAGGGATGAGGGAGGCATTGTGCAGTTCTTGAAGTCACTTTCAAGCTGTTGTAACAGTTTAAACCCTATTTCTGCCTTCTCAAAATACATGAGCTGTTCATTTTTCCTGGCGTTAAAAGCAGGGAGCCTCATCCCCTTTGTGTATTCCCTTAGCTTTTATAGCAGGTATCATTGAGTTGTGAAGAAATTGTCTTTGGTGAGGTCTCACTAGCCTTGTTCTGTCGTCTTTAGTGTAAATTTTGGTTGATGAAGGAAGCCTGCAGTTGCCAAAATGTAAATGCTCCTAACCTTCCACTCTGAGAAAAAGGAGACCACGGGAGAGTCTGTTTTCCACAAGTTAAATTTGGTGAGCAGTCGTATAGCAAGTACTCCTTAGATCCATGATCATGCTAAAGTGTTGCCCATGTTATAGTAATGAGAATTTGGAATGGAAGGAATTGTCTTCTAGCTGTGTGTGAGTGCCTCTCTCTACTGGCGTGTTTGTATCTTCACTTTTTGTGGGAGACACAGGCTTGGTACTCTGTTCAACATCATTCCTATCTATCTAGTAGAAAAACACATTCAAAATCTTTTTTTTTTTTGGTGCTCTGCCCAGTAGCCAGCAAGTTTTCCGGATGGATACTTTCATTTATATTTCATTTATATTCACTAATCATTTTATATTTTCTAGTTTTTTTTTTAAAGTTTTCATAGTGTTATATAATCAGGGGAAGAAAGCCCAGCGGTACTACTATATTTCATTCTTTTGGTTTCTACTGGGGGTATTTTTGTCAAAGAAAAAAAAAAAAAAAACCTCAAATAATGGCTGTAGATGTAGATTTACTGCAGAGAGTAATTACTGGGAACTGTTTATTCCAGATTGGAAAGAAGGTGTTAAGAGAGAGACTAGTTGTTGAAGGGAAATGCATTTGTGGATACAGTCTACTCAGATAACCTGCCATGAGGCTTTGAGCAGCAGCCATGTTGGTTTTCCTGGGATACCCTAGGCTTTTTTCATGGGGCAAATGTAAGTGCTGATGGGCACTTTGTGAGGGTGTCTCTGGGGGAGAGCACAGGGTTGGAGAAGTAGCTGCAGGCTCCAGCCATCAGAATATTTGATAGCAGTTCACATTCCATGACTCTCTTTGACTCCCTGGTATCTCTCAAAGTATTACAACTATGCTCAGTTGTCCCATTTTGGGAATTGAAGTTTGCTACATTTTTAGCCTGCCAGCACTGGTAAGTATTGTATCGTCTTACCAGGAACCCTGGAAACTTGAGAACTTTCAGCACGAAGTGTCAGATGTTTATAGGATGAGGAATGGTGACAGCAATGTTTGTCACCCTCTACTTTGCACTTTGTCAGAGTGCTTCTCACCATTTTAAGTGTGAGTATGCCTCTTTGATTCATGTTCTTGCTAATGGCATACAAAGACAGCATCTGCTGTGACAGTTACCCCTCTGTGTCTCTGGGCTCGGTGTTTAAACTCTGCAGAATGCTTAGTGCTGTGTGATGCGGTTTCACTTTATGAAAGAAGCAAGAGCTTCCTTGGAAATACTTGTTGGGATACCATTTACCTCACAGAGAGGTGTCCTCCCCAAATCTCCACCCATGTGCCATGCCAGATGAGGGATTCCTTTAAAAACACAAATCTTGGCAATTTCAGGTGCATCTCCGTGGAGCTTTCTTTACACACTGGACGGTGTTCTTGTTGCTTGCTCCATTGCTTTGAATGTCCTCTAAATTTTCACTTAGTGTCACTGCTGCCTGGCAGGCATTTCATTTCCTGTGGCTTTCACAGTAGGGCATGTGATTTAAAACGCTGTGTTTGGCATCCGCTCACTTTCAGCTGCTGAGATCTCACCCGTAGGTACCACAAAGAAAGCCCTCCAGACGTTCTTCCTGACTCCACCTAGGCCAGTTCAGCATTTCAGCATCCGCAGTACCATGTTTTTCTTCCTGCTTCCCTGTGATTGGGTTACCTGTTTGATTCTCATGGAAATACACATGTCCTTGGGCATAGATAATAACTGTAGTCATGTGTGATTCTGCCTTCCTTCATTATTTTTTGTGCTAATGGCTTTAAAGAAATATCCGAGGGGCATACACACAAAGATTAGAGCAGTGTAACAAATAAATGAATGAATAAATAAACAAATGACCCAAGCTGAAGATCAGAAAAGCAAAGCAGCTGACCTCTAGCTCTCACCTCTAGCTCAGGCTGAAAGGGCTGATCCATGCCACAAGCTCTTCACCAAGTCTCAGACTGCTGCCTCTCCTCAGTGTGGCTGGAGAACAGATGCCTGTCTGAGACCTCGCTTCTGTCTTATGTACTTCCCTAATGTTAGGATGAAAGGTGTGAGCTATAATTCTCTTTTAGACTGATTCAGTCTTGTGTAGATCTGGGTGGCCTTGAACTCACAGAGATCCATCTGTCTTTCAATCCTGAGTCCTAGGAGTAAAGGTGAGTACCACCACCTCCCAGCTTCTGGCTGCTGGAATTAAAGGTGTGTGCCTGGCTTCTATGGCCTGTGGCTGACTTTGCTTTCTGAATCCTCAGGCAAGCTTTAATAAATCATAAATAATATGTCACTACTGAGCAGTAACATGAAGGGCCTGTCAGTGTAGGAGACTCAATACTTAAAACTCATCCCCTTGAGGCAGCTGAAAAGGAGGAGCTGAAGACACTGCTCTCATCTTCAAAGGATCTTATCATGTTTGAGCTTTTGTTTTTGTGTTTTATATGTAGAGACAGCTGAGTACCTATCATTTAAATATTTAAATGACTTTTTTTTCTTTTGTAAATAAGGGAACTAAGCAATCACTTTCTGGGGTTATCAACCATTTCAAACATAAATGTAAAAATAAACCCCCTTGTAGAAAAACTTGCATCCTGATTTTTGTTGATTGCAGTTGGAAGTGTAAATAATAATAAGATGATGTAAGACCTTCCTAAGGTCTAATATTAACCGGGCTGTAGCAAGTTGCCCTATTTTTTATTAGGTTTTGAGAGTTTTTTTCCTTTCCTAAATGTACAGTAGAGTGCCGTCTGTGTAAGTGTTAACTGTAGTGGGGATTTGTCCAGCAAGCCTGAAATTTATACTTTGAAATAAATGACTGGGTTTTTAACATTCTGGGTACTCTGATTCATTCTGAGAGCTCTCAGCCTGTGTGTGTGTCTCTTAAAAACCCCCCACTCTGCTCAGAATCACCCTTGCTCACCCTTCAGTGTGCCTTAATTAACCTATTTGGCAATTCCCTGGAATTCAACCCCCTTGCTGTGCCCTAGCTTTGAAAGAGCTGTGCAGAGCAGCTGCCTGGTTCAGTAGGCTGTTTTCAGCTAACTACAGGTCTTGCCTGATGCCCATTGGTGGCTTCAAAGGATCACAAACTGCTCCCCTACTGTTAGCATCTGCTAGCAGGAGAAGGAGAAAGATCGTGGGAAGTGCAGGTATCTAATAGGTCTGGAAATGGCCCTCATCTTCCTTCTGGCTCGGTGGGCTAAAATTTAGTTATACCATGGGCTGTGATTGGCATCTGCCGCCACTAAAGGAGGCTAATGGATTCTGATAGGGTTTGTGCCATCCTTTTGTGTATTGGTTTGGTTTCATATAATGTTCATTCTGCAGCTCTCCACCCTGCAGGAAATGTTTGCTGTTAGAAACAAAACTGTGGAAAGTGAACGGGAATTTAATATCTTTTATTAAGAGTACAGATGGGAAATACAGCTAAAACAGCCTTCGGAGTCTTGCAGCTTCCTTTTCCTCCTTCACTTTCTGTCTTGTGTCAAAATTGGTTTCATGGTAACAAAACCAAAGTCATAGATTTCTGGCATCCCCTTGTGGAGAGTTTTGTTGAACCGATTCCAATTAAAAGCTGGGAGGCCATCTTGTACCGTGGGACCACTAATGGCATAGGCTGTATACTGAGATGCAAGGAAGACGTCTGCCACCTGGAAAAAGGGAGGAGGACATTTTAAAAGGCCATCTGAAATTTGACTATGTAGCCAGCCTTCATCCCCCTTCTTAAGGGCACACTGCGAGCCTCCCTTAAAAGACCAGTTTCCTGGAAGCTGCGCCCTTTTCATGACACAGGCAGGCTTCTGTATGCATTTGTCATGTCCAAGTGGGAACTAAGAGAGCAGCGCAGACGGGAGATGGGCAGTGTGACAGCTAGTTCAGAACTGGAGCGCCACAAGTCACTTTAAAATCACTTTAGTGTTTCCATGACTTGGCTTTCCTCCTCAGAAAGTGAACTCATGACTGTTCTTCCTACATCAAAGTAAGAATTCCTGGGAGTCAGAAAATCCTCAGTGGAGGCTGGTGATTAGAGCAGCAACAGGGTTCTAAAGGATGAACCACACACTCCAAAGGGCTGTCCCAAACAACTGACTCAGGGATAGAAGCAGGTCTAGCCTAAGAGGGGAAAGGCCATCGAGTATCTGAAGTAGCTGAAAGAATGTTTTAAGCTCATTCTGGCAACATCAGATGGCAGATGGCGGCTTGGCTTGAGTTCTTCAACACACAGCAGCAGAGGTGAGTTGTCTGAGACAAATGAAACACTTCCCACACACTTTGCACTGGGGCTTCCTGGTGTCACTTCCCTCTATTAGGTGGGTTATACAGCATGGAGCATCCTTAGAGGGGAAGTATTCCCTCCACCAAGCTCACACAGCTGGCTCATAGCTAGCTGGCTGGATGGGGGAGCTAGGATTCAAGCTTGGGGGAGATAGGATTTGGGCTCTAGAAAGCATCTCCTGCCAGAGGGATGGCTGGGAGAAGGTGAGTGAGTGTAAGCGTTGTGGGAATCCCTATAGTTTCTTTTACTAGCCAAAGAGGCAAAAGGTGCCATCTTCAAGCTACACTCGTAGGATGAGCTCATCACCTAGCTCATGTACAGGAAGATCAGGCATAGCCTGCTCTCAAGAAAAAGGCCACACAAAGTTTGTAGCCTTCACTGGTCTCTGGTGATTTGGGTCCTTTCATGGTGGCAGACCAACATGATGCTGCTGAACAAAACACCTAAAGTGCCTTGGCCAACTAGTCTAAAATGTGTTCCTTAGGTTCATGCTTAATATACAGCCACAACACTCTGATAAAATGTCACCACCACTATGATTATATACATTTTAAAATGAATTTTTGAAAGATTTATGTGTGTGAATATTTTGTCTTCGTGTGTGTATGTGCACCACATGCATGCAGTGCCAGTGGAAGCCAGAAGAGGGCACTGCATCCCCCAGAACTGGAGTTGAAGATGGTTCTTCACCAGCATGTCAGTTCTGAGAATCAAACTTCGGTCCCCTGAAAGAGTAATCAATACTCTAAACCACTGAGCCATCTCTCCATGAATGAATTTATAAATTACCAAGAGCTCTTCTAGATGGTGTGAGGATGTTGAAGATTTATTCTTCTCTGTATGAGGTAAATTTGTTATTTACAGGAGCAGTCTGCTTCCTGGATTTAATGTATGCCACAAAACTCTCTGCTTCTAACCTAATTCTCCTCATTAGAAGCAGATTGGAAAGCAAGAGTGTGTTAGTTACCTTGGTGTCATAGCAACCTCCAGGGCTTGGGGTGCGTTGATTCAGGTCCTCACGACAGCAGATGGTATTGCAGGGATCACCCATGCTGTAGGGCTCCTCCTTGTAATCTAGGATACACCGTGATGGGGGGAGAACACATGTTCTTCTAAGGCTATTGTGAGATACACTTATTCAAAGTAAGATTTTGGATCGTTTAAAGAATATACCCCACAGGCCTCCCCAGCTGTGGTAGTTTGAAAGAGAATGTCCCCCCAAAGGGAGGCGTGGACTTGTTGAAATAGGTGTGGCCCTCTTGGAGGAAGTGTGTTAAGAGTTGGGCTGGGCTTTAAGGCTTCTCTTGCTCAAGCTTCCCTCAGTGTGGCAGTCGGTTGACTTCCTGCTGCCTTGTGGTTAAGATGTAGGCAGCACCATATGTGCCTGCACACTGCTGTGCTCTCTACCATGACGATAATGGACTTTCACCAACAATTAAATATTTTCCTTTATATGAGTTGCCATGATCATGTTGTCTCTTCATGGCAATAGACCGGCCCCGCCTACTTTCCAATACAGAAATGGCTTACACTAGGGAGTGGCTAACTGCAGATCCTCTGTCCCAGCTCCAGCCTGCCTCAAAGACCGTCCCCAAAGAGAGTAAAAAGGAGAGATAGATGGGACGCATGTGCATCACTGTTTTCCTAGGAGAGTCTTCATCAAAAGAAAGCATTTATGAGAATGTTAGCTGCTTTTGTGCTTGGGAGTTGTGCTGGCAGAAGATCGATAGGAGCTAAGGAAAAGGCTCTACGGATCTCATTTTTTCTATATTCTATATGTAAGTCTTTTGGAGAGAGAATCAGATGAAAAAACAAACTGTAGAGCCAGGTGTGGTTATATATATCCACAATTCCAACATTTGGGAGGTGAAGCCAGGATCAAGAGTGTGTTTGTGTGTGTGTGTGTGTGTGTGTGTGTGTGTGTGTTTAAATGTGTGTGTGCCCATAAGCATGCCAGGGTGTGCACGTGGTAGACAGAAGACAAACTGTGGGGGTCGCTTCTCTCCTTCTACTGTATGGGTCTAGGGGATCAACTCAGGCCAATAGACTTGCCGGGCCACCCTGCCTGCCTTTCTGGGATTTTGTAAGGGAGGCAAACATTCTATTTGTTGAGCAATATGTGTACAGCATTAACAGTATCCTGAATCCTGAGTTCAGACAACTTCTAATAATCCCTTCTAGTGCAAGATGATAAACGTACGTAGATTCTTATTCCATGGGGAAGAAAGGGAGTTTTGAGGAATGACTCTTGAGAAATGTGCTACGTACTGTTGTATCGCATGATATATTTCATGGAAGCGATGTCAATTACTTTCCCTTGGTCACGCCTGAAGATTTTGGCTCGTGGAGCTAAATCATACGAGTAGTCCAATCCCAGCTTCTGAACCAGCATAGGGTAGCCACTCCAGTTGTAGACTTTTTCATGGAAGGGGATATTGTAGGAAGGCCAGTACCCTGGTTTGGCATAGGAGAGAAAGGTGAGGTTGAGCAGAGGGAGACAGGAAAAGGAGGGGGATAAAACAAGGAAGTTATTGAATGACAGCATATTTCAGAATTGCCACATGTGTAATTACAAAATGAAATAGCGTAAGAAATGAAGCTGTGAACACGAACCTGTCACCACAATAGTCCCTCTACTCCCAGAGCTGGTATGCCTCTAGGTTACTGTAAAGGAAGTAGAGCCTAAAGAAGTCTGATTTTCACCCCAAGTTGTTAGTGCAATGTAGAACCCAGAGATGTGTTAGAAGCTACAGTTCTTACCACAGTGCCAGCCTTGGTATTAAACTAATTGTTGATAATTAATTCTGTAAGAACAGCTCCCTTAAAAAAAAAAAACCAGTGATTCCCTGTCCTCCACATTCTCATAAAGCCTTGTAATTAACAAAAGCATTTTCTATGGGAGCTTATTTATTCCCAGATCACCCTGGTGATGTTTAAGCAGTACCAACTCCTCTTGGAAGCATCCCCTCTTGAGAGCATCTCCTATTTTCTTCCTGAGCCTTTTATCCATTTAGTGTAATGTTTAACATGATGCTTGCCTGGAACTTCCCTGTGAAGCTCAAACCACAGAACATGAAGAAATGAACCGGAAGTGTCTAGAACCATGGTCTCAACCTGTGGGTCCTGACTCTTCTGAGGGTCACATATCAGATATTTACCTTACAGTTCCTAACAGTAGCAGAATTACAGTTATGAAGTAGCAACAGAATATCGTTGGTGGTCATCGCAGTGTTAAAGGACTGCATTAGGGAGGTTGAGACCCACTGGTCCAAGGGGATCGGCAGCCCCTTTCCTCTGTAGTGTAAGCCACTGCTAAGTTACCCAAGCTATTGTCAATCACCCTAATTAAACTCAACAGGTCTGCCCCATGCCCAGAAAAGCTAAGCCGTGAAAGCAGAAGGGACTGGTTTGGACAAGGAAAGGGATTAATGAGGGTGGGGGGGGGGTCGGTTGGGGGGTTAGAGGTGAGGGGGAGGATGATGAAGCATGCACCTGTGTAGGAATGACATAACAATATATCGTTATACACAATCAGTATATACCAATGAAAAACTTTTTAAGAGTCAATGTAGGAAGTGGCAAGTGTTAAAATTTTGACTTGGGGACCTACCTGCTAGACAGGACAGTGACTCACAATAAATCTTGCCTCTTTTAAGTTATCACCATGTGATTTATCACAGAGACAAAACAATTATATTGTGATAAGCCATGTCTTTATGAGGGTATAAAGACAGAGATTTCTCAAGCCCATTTCTGCAGACTTGGGGAGAGTCTTTTTCCTACTAAATTAGTTTAGTTTGGATCATATTTTTTCTACCAGATAACAGTATCAAAGCAATAACATTTTGCTTTCGAGTTCTGGGATTTTTAAAATAATGAGTAAGTGACTGATGGGTCTTCACCAGGACTGCCCTGGTGTACAAAGAGAGCGAGGATTGGAGAGGGTGTGTCATTTACTTGAGAATTTTGGGAAGCCAAGATTCAGTCCCTGGGCTTCACCTGTCTGGGCTGTTCCCTGGGTGGCCAAAGCCACCATCTCTGACCCCTCACACTAATGGTACCCTCGCCAGTTGGGTCTCACTAGGCCCGGCTCGTCAGGACTTATTTCAGTTGTCACCATTCTGGACTCGCATCCTTTACAACACTCCAGGGTTTATGGAGAGGAGCAAATTGGCATGTGAGTCAGAGTAACACCCCGCAAAAATGTGCTGAGCGAGTTCAAAACTTGACCTCCAGAATTCTAGAAAGAAGGCAATGTTAGAGCTGTTAGAGGTCGGAGGTCATGTGCATGATGGGCGTCCCAGTCTCCCAGAAGAGAGTGAGGGTTCTTTCTTCTCATACGTTGTGTTGAACATGGTGATTCTTTCCCAGGGTAACCACCAATGGCAAACCCATCACCCATGCTCACACAGCACATCCCCCATCACACACGGCCACCTCACACAGCACGCTTCATCCCCCACACACGTCCCCCATCATACTCACTGTCATGGGTAGTTTTTACTTTCAGCTTCACACAACCTAGAATCAGCCTGTCCTGTGTGCGTGTCTGGAGGACAATTGTCCTGACTGATAGGGGAAGACAGCCCGGAAGTGGAGAGCAGAGGAAGCTAGCTGAGCGGGGAGCATGTGGACGGGTGTTTTTTCTCTGCTCTTGACTACAGACTGGAGATTAGCTGCTTCACGTTCCTGCCTTGCCCCTCCCACCATGATGGACTGTGGCACGGAGCTGTGGGTAAAATAAACCTTTCCGCCCTTAAGTTGCTTTCTCTCTGGGGAGCACAAGAGCAGAAACGAAGCCAGGACACACCGATAGGCAATGGCCGTGATGCATGGGAAGACGGTACCTTTTCTTAGAACATTGGTTTGTTCCGAATACTCCACATACGTGGGGATTTGCTCCACAATATACAGAGTGCCTTTGTCAAGGCTCCTTTTCAGATTCACCTTCTTCAAGTCCAGAACCATGTACTGGTTGTTGTAGGTACCTGAAATGTTGGGAGACGCAAGGGTGACATGGTTAATAATCTCAACTGATGAATTAGTACAGGCGCACACCTGAGGATACTGGACAGAACTACTTACCTGAGTTGTGCTTTGAGAAGATCTCTGCCCAATCCTGTCCACCCTCTGCCATCATGTTGGCCACACGGACTCTTTGCCAGGCCAGGAGAGTCTGGGGAACCACTAACTTCAGCAGGGTTTTATTATATACACTGTTGGTGGTCTGTAGTAGGACCAGGCCATTGCTAAGGATGTAAAAGTCATCCAAAGATTCCAAGAACCCTAGAGGAATGAAGAGCACACAGGTCATCATCACATGTACACATGGCCCACGCAGCCACGTCAGCATGGGGCTTCATGTACACTGTGTGTCTGGAAAAGTAGCTGCTATGGTTTTCTCTTCTGTGTAGCAGCCATTTCAGCTTTGGCACACCTGGTTTGTAGCTACTGGGCTGCTGTGTGCACAGGTGCTGTAGATCCCACACCCTCTTAGATTCTCCTTCAGAAAAGGTTAGCAATGTGAGAGGTGTGTGTGTGTGTGTGTGTGTGTGTGTGTGTGTGTGTTTGTGTGTGTGTACAGTGCATATGGATGCTAGGGGATAGGTGGTATGTGTTTAATAGGTTAGGTATGTACACAGCAGACAGAACTCGATCCCTATTTGGCAGGACTTCGAGAAATTTTTAATTAGGGAAAGTATCAGTAGGGTACATTGCTAGGCAGCTAAGAATTTAGACATCTTCCTTTTTCTTTTTCTAGTCTGTGCTTTACAAATTTTACTTGAGACTTTTAAACATGGATGAATCTAAACGTGGCCTTGAAAGGAGACTCTGACACCCTGGTTCACTGAGTCCTTTAAATGCCAGAGACAATGTGGGATTGTGTTGAGGTCTGTGCTGGGCGGGGTGAATGTGGACAGGCCGCTGGGACACAGCAGGAGCAATGGGAGGGCAGAGCATGTCAGCACGGGCAGAGGTCAAAAACAGAGTGTTAAGGGGGTGTCTGAGAGCCCAGAGTTAGGCTAGGCTCTGGCACATGGCTCCTAGGAAAGATGTCAGAGGGAGCGTGCTCACCCACTCTGCCACACGAGAGCAGAGCAAACAGTGCCAGCTATAGGAAAGCGATTTCAGTAGACAGCAACTCCCTGCTGCCCTCACCTTGATTTCCCAGTGTCTAGACCTACAGGCTACAAACTTCTACTTGGAAATCACCCTGTCTGAACTCTTCTGCGATGACAGAACAGACGGTACCAGCTCAGATGTCTACCGCTTTATAACAGGCCTATTATTATTGTTATTGTTATTTTTATTATTATTATTTTGCATTTCTGAGTATTATCTACACTTTTTGTTACCTAAACTGTTACTCACTTAATATTTTGTTTTTAATATTTACTTGTATTCAGTCTATCACCATCGTGTGAGTATGTAATGTGTAGACACATGTGTTATGGCACACAAATGGGGACCAAAGAACAACTTTGTGCAGTTGATTCTTGTCCTGGCTTTGTTTGGTTGGTTTGGTCAACTTGGCACAAACTTGGGCATATGGGGGAAGAAGGAATCTTATCTTGCCTATACGCAAGTCTGTGGGGCATCTTCTTGACTAAGGGTTGATATGAGAGGGCCCAGATAGCCATCTCTGGGCTGGTGGTTTTGGTGTGTACAAGAAAGCAAACTGAACAAGCCAGTGAGCAGCATCCCCAGTGGCCTCTGCCCCAGCTCCTGACTCCAGGTTCTTTCCTCGAGTTCCTGCCCTGACTCCCTTCAGTGATGTCTGTAGGCTGTGAGCTGAAATAAACCTTTCCCTCCCCAAGATGCTTTTGCTCTTGGCATTTATCATAGCCGTACAAAGCCTAGCCAACAGGTCTCTTTCCGTCTTTACATGGGCTCCAAAGACTGAGTTTAGACTGTTAGGGTTTCAAAGCAGGCACTTTTACCCACTGAGCCAGATTTCTGGCTCTTAGTATTATAGTTTTCGGGTGTTTTAAATTTAGCCAGGCGGTGGTGGTGCATGCCTTTAATACTAGCACTTGGAAGGTATAGGCAGGATGATCTCTGAGTTCAAGGGCAGCTTAATCTACAGAGTTCCAGGACAGCCAAGACTACACAGAGAACCCCATCTAGAAAACACACACACACACACACACACACACACACACACACACACGATACACACACATATATTTAATGTGTATGAATAGTCTGCTTGCATGTATGAGTATATACCATGTACTACACATGTGCAGTGCCTGAGGAAGCCAGGAGAGGGCATCAGAACCCCAGAACCAGGCGTTAGAGATAGTTGTGAGTGGCCATGTGGGGGCTGGGAACCAAATTCAGGCCTTCTGCACGAGCAGCAAGTACTCTTAGCCACTCAACTTTCCCTTGATTTGGTTTGTTAACTAAAAGATAAAAGTGTATATATCTACAGGGTATATTGGTATCTAACTAGAAGTACACATTGTGAATGGCTAACTCAAACTTCTAATGTATAGTATAGTTACTTAATGTTTTCTTTACACTAAGTTCCCTTCCGCACCAAAAATATATTAATCTTTTCATAGCCATTGATATCTAAAGAAGCAGGAGTTTCATTTTCTCCTAAAACATTCAAATAAATGTCTTTCTTCTTATATACAAAAAGAGCATTCATTGGAACACCTAAAACCACACCATCAAAACGACATGTATCATTGTGCAACTTCTAGGAGCCTCAAATGGACTGGGTAAGGTGGGGGTTCAATGTAGGGGTTGCATCAAACCAAAGTCCTGGAAGCAAGAGTAGGTGTGGAGGTCATGTCTCCAGCTTCAGAGGTGGAGAAAAGTGGGTCAGGTGTTCAAGGTCAAGGCCAATTTGGGCCAATGGAAACTCTCATCCACCTCAAAAAAAAAAAAAAAAAAAACGGGAACAAAATGGCTCCAGAGCAGAGACTGCATTTCAGTTGCGTTCACACCAAACCTGGCCTGAGAGTGTGTGACGTCATCCTGCTCTCGGGACCTACGCTTAATTTCCAGAGTTTCGGAGTAAGAGTGGTGAGTGGTAAGAGAACATCCAACTGACTTGACGAGCTTTCCCACAGGGTGGATCAGCTTATACAAGAAGGTTCGGAAGCAAGAGTGAGTTAGGTGCTCCAGTCGATACAGGCTCCGTGGCGCCCGTGAACGCAATTCCTGGGAAGACACAGGCTGGATGTAGGACAGAGGGTGGGCCAGTTTTCAGGGACTGCTCATTCATCACCTTTGCAGAACTCAAATTGTGTAGCCCTGCCGGGCCTTGGTGAGCAAGCCTGTGGGAGGAAGACTGATGTGGCTGAACCATGTTCGAACACGGTAGCTGTTGCTAATTCTTCCTTGTTGTAGCTGCCTCTCTGGACACAAGAGGGCAGGCGTTCTTGTGTGACTGAGCGCTTGAGGGATGTGCTCAGATTGCAGAGTAAGGGGACCAGGAGATAGAAAAATGCAGGCTGCCCAGAGTTCTGGAACAGCAAAACAAAATGACAAATCGGTTTGCAAAAACTACTTGGGGAGGTCGACTCTATATGGCCCGGCTTGAAGATATCAAGTAAGACTCAGAGAGGGTGCAAAGTCCCAACACATGGCCCTAAAGGGAAACATAGCCTGTGTCATTTATGTTCTCGCTACCATCCTTAGTAGTTAGGGGAAAGTGGAAACTTCCAGGGGTTCATACATGTCGACTCTCACATAATGTCTCATGGTTAACTTTCTTGCTGAGATTAAGAAATAAAAGGGAGATTCTTCAACAAATAAAGCATGCTTTAAGGGCCAGTGAGGAGATTTAGCAGGTAAAGGCACTTGCCACCAAATCTTGATGATCTGAGTTCAATACCTAGCTGGCACCCACACGGAGGCAGAGACCACACTCCCGAAAGCTGCCTTCTCTCTCCAGGTGTGTGCTACACACACACACACACACACACACACACACACACACACACAGAGAGAGAGAGGCAAGTGCATGCCGTGGCACTCATGCACACACGCTAGATAGATAAATGTAAAAATGTTAATGCTTACAGTACAATTTGTAAAGATAATCTAGTGGTTCCCAACTCAGTCCCAGAACTCTGGAGCCCCAGGCAGGAGGACTGAGAGGACAAGGCCCACAGAAAAGATGAACCATGGCCTGGAGAGCTGGCTCACTGCTGCTCTCCACAAGCATCAGAGTTTGGTTCCTAGCACGGCTACCTGTGACTCCAGCTCCCAGAGGACCAGACCCTGTCTTCTGGACTCCTGGAGCATCAGCCCTTCCACATTCACACACCCACACATGGACACATAAAGATAACAATAAAATTTAAAAACAGTAACCACTGCCCCTAGATGTCACAAAAGCCTATTACTCAGAACAACCCCAAGAGATTTCCCTAATGATCTCACTAAACACATTTTTTGCATGCATCAAGTGTTCCAGAGCCCAGAGGTGTCGTACCAGCCCCCTGTGAACCAAGGGCCTGAAGAACAGACATGCCCACCCCTCCCCCTGGATCTCACTTTCTGGGGGCTCTGTGGCACTGTGATCTAAAATCACTAACTGGAAAATTCCAGCTAGTTGTGGAAATGCCTGTAATCCTGGGAGGCTGAGGCAGGGACAGCACAGGTTTGAGGCCAGCAAGGTTAACGAGAGTTTCTAGGCTACAGGATGAGACCCTATCTCAAAAAAAAGAAAAAAAAAGGTATAAATACTTCACAACTTTCTTACAGTACTTTTCAATTTTGGTAAATGTTAATCTCTTACACTGATAATGTACAAATAGAACATATCGTAGTTATATTTGAGGTGTTTGATAGGAAAAGACACAGCAGCAGAGCTCGGGCCTGCCAGCTCCTGGCAGCCCCTGACGATTTGGGAGCAAATCCCTGGAGACTGGCAGACTGACCGCTGTGCAGTTCAGACTCCACACACACTCTGCAGCGTGCTCTCCTCTCTGCACTGGCATCGTGACTCGCATCGCGACTTTGCACCGTGACCATCATGTGGCATCAGCGATTTCTCTCTTAAAACTGAGCTGAATTCACAGTTAGTTCTAAGCAGAGAACTCAGGAGACCCCCACTCGGTCCTGCTTGGTCCCGTGGCCTGGAAAAAGAGCCCGAGTGTGTTCTGTAAGATGGGACAGACTGTAAAGAGGGTCTGGGTCACTTCAGCTGATCGGGAACATTCAACATCACGGGTCTGAAGAGCCCGCAGCCAAGCCTAAGGAATGAATGTCTCCTCTGAGATTAGAGTCCCACCTTGCCCACCTAGAAATGTAGTATCAGCCAC